TAATAAGAATAATACGAAATGAGTGCTTTTCTTCTTCTTTTAACTTATTTATGTAGATACGCTTTTTTATCCTATAAAATATATTACATAAATAAAAAGTTCTTGCTACTACACACATATAAATCATGACATTCCACCTGGTGGAACAATGAAGATGACATATAAGATGATATCTGTGAGAAATTAATCTGCTCTATGACAGCGCAAGACATTAGAACAGGAAAAAAGTTAATTAACTTTTCTTTCTTCTTTTTTTACCATTTATATAAATCCTAAGGAAAAGAAGAAAAAACTGTTAATTTTATCTAATTGTCATCTACTGATATTCACTTAGAAAATATGAAGCAATTATGTTTTAAAAAAGTATACAAAACATTTTCGAAAATTTGGTTTGTTTTATTAATATCCATATATTTTAATATTCAATGAAGATCGTCTGATAACTTACATGACTGAACATATTATCTAATTTTCTGATAATCATTTTTTTAATCATTAATTCCTTAATAAGCTTATCTGATTTTTCTTGAGGAAAATATGTGTTAAGTAACATGAGTGGAAAATAGTTGGTTGTCGAAGTGTAGAAATGAAATATTGATGAGAGGAAATGCGATTAAGTTTTTTGAAACATACATCCGCAATTTTTTTTCATATTTCTACTTCTATATATATATATATATATATCTATACCAGAAAAGATTCTATAAACCAAAAATAAGAAACAAATATGATCTATGGAATTTTACTTGAAAGTTGTCGAGATGGTATTTGTCATACATATGGAGCATCAATATGGCAAAGACTTGTTGAAGAATTAAGTTTTGAATCTGAATCATTTACAACTCTTGGACGTTATGATGAAGCTCTTATTGAAAGACTTGCTGAATGTAAGATTATTAGTTTTTTTTTTGAGACAATTTATTTATTTCTATTGATTATATGTATGCATTCCTACAAATCTATTTGTAGGTCTTGCTGAAACTTTAAATGATGGTGGACCAGACTTTTATATGCAATTTTTTGGCGAATGTTTTGTAAACTTTTTTACAACTTACGGTTTTGATAAAATTTTACGTGTAGCTGGTCGACATTTTCGTGACTTTCTTTTATCAATTGATCAACTTCATGATTCAAACAGATTTAGTTTTCCAAAGATGAAATCACCATTATTTCATGTTACAGAAGAAGATACTAATGGTGCAGTTTTACATTATAAGTAAAATAAAATTAAAAAAAAATTTCAATACAAATCTATTTAATTTGTAAAATTTAGATCAAAACGTCGAGGTTTTCAACAATATATCATTGGACAATTAAGAACATGTGCATTTAAATTTTTTAAGCAGGAAATATTTGTTCGCATTCAAGATGATTTATCATCAAACGAATGTAAGAGTTTTTGAATTTTTGAAGTATGAAAGAGTTTATATATATATATGTCATTATTCTAGATACTCATATTGTTTTTCGTGTGGATTTTAATAATCAGTTGGCATGTGGATCTAAAAAATCTATTGCGAATAATCCTAAATTACCTGATCTGACAGGTGCAACATTTTTTAAAGTAAGAGTTTTTTCTGAAAAAGAAAGAGAAATATTTCCGTCTAATTACCTGTAGGAAGTCATTTGAAACGAAAATATAAGAAAATTTTCTTTAATAAAAAGATGCATGACTGTGAAAAGAGCATCTGTCAAAAAGTGAAAGAACTGAGAATTTTTATATTTAAATTTCAAGTGAACATAAAGGTTACGATTTTCAATAAGTGCAATAAAAATAAAATATTCAAATAGATTGTATGTAAATGTTAACAAAAAAAGATCTTTATTGGATTAATTCAGTTAAATATTTATTAAACAAAAAACCTATAAAATAACATACTATATTAAGATTATGTCATTGTTTACACTTTTCTATTTGCTGACAATAAAACTTAAATTAAATGTTTATAGGTATTTCCATTTGCTATTTTAATTGATTCAAATATGCGTATACATCATTTGGGAAGTTCACTTAAAGCGGCTTTTCCACCTGGTACTGTATTCAATGGTCGGCATTTTGAAGATGTTTTTCGTCTTATTCGACCAGATATATTACTTGAATGGAATCGAGTTTGTTTTCATATTTATAAAAACAGAGATGATTATTTAAATATTTCTCAAGGTACTTTCTTATGGTCGACATTTAGTATTTGTTGTTGAAAATCGCATACCACTGCGTCCGATTGCAGCTACACTTGCAAAAAAATTTGGTACATCAACAACATCTAATGCACAACTGCGTCTTAAAGGACAAATGAAATCAATTCCTTCATGGAATATGATTGTTTTTCTTTGTCGTCCAGTGTATATATTAATAATGAATTTAATACTGATATTAAATTTATCTTTAATTTAGATTAACAACAACCGAAGAAATGGTTTCTGTTGGTTTGTTTTTAGATGATTTAAATTTTTATGATGGTAGCAGTGAAATTCTTATTGCTGGTATGCAACATGCTCAAACGTTACAAGCAGCTATTGATAAACAACAAGCATGGATAGCAAAATTAAAACATTCTAAACGTGAATTACAAGAATGGCGTCGAAAAGGAAAACGTCTTTTATATAATATGATGCCAAGACATGTTGCACAAATGTTACAAGACGGTGTTTTAGCTAATTCAATATGTGAAGTAAGATATTTTATTATTTTTATAAGACAAAAAAAAGAAATGAATTTTTGATTTTTTTTTTAATTTTATATATTAGTCTCATAAATTAATAACGGTTCTTTTTGCATATTCGATTGATTTTAAAGAAGTTGTAGAAAAATCAAAACCGGAACAAATTGTTGAATCAATAAATGCTACTGTTAATGCATTCGATCAATGTTCTGAACGTTTCGATGTATTTAAAGTAGAAACAAAAGCAGATTCATCTTATATGGTTGTAGCTGGTATACAAGATCGTGCAGTAGGTGCTGTACAGCGACGTGGATCAACAGCTGTAAGATTTCTTTTTTTATTTTAGTATTAGACAATCAACATATAGAATCCTTGAATGTGTCTATCTTTTAATTTTGCTATCGATGATTAACTTTTTTAGCTTATTTCCTTGAGAAAAAAGTGTCTTTATTCGTGAGAAGTTATTATGTCATGTGTTTATACTTGCTAATAATATCAACGGTTCAATTCATAAAAGAAAAAAAATTTAATTAATTTTCAATTCAGCTATATTATTTCAGTTATCATAATTTATTGATACTTGTCCGAATTGTCTGCAAGATCAAGTCATAGTATATTTTATTTCTTTTGAAATGTAAAACCGTTGTGGCTGAATGATTAATTTAATTCGACATGTGCTCACAAGGTGTTCTGTTCGAGACTGAGCGCTGTCAAATACAAAATAACTCGAGATAAATTATTGATTGTCTTTTTTTTGTTTCCGATCATCCGTCCGATAGCTACTTCATTGCATATCATCATAAATCGTTTCGTGCAGCTTATATAAGCCTAGTCAGTGTGAACAAGAAGCTTAAGTGATTCGAGAGAATAACTCTAAGTCAGGCTAACCTTGTCTGCTTTGAACTATTCTGAACAGTATCTTATATTACAAGATTGTCGAAAAGAAGAATAATCTTCTTCTCTCGAGGTGTCGACTATGTAGATCACACATGCTTTTTGATTTTCCTTTTATTTCATGAGAGTATAAAAGAATTTTTATCTAACACTTCTCTTTTTTTTTTGAAATCTGATAATAAATTATTAGTGTGAAAAATATGAATTCGAATACTTATAAAAATCTATGTTTTCTTGTTTGAAAATAACAAGCAGGTTGAAGTATCTAAAATCTAGTTAATACCTGTCTTATTAATTAATTTCATGTCACTTGTTTTTGTTAGAGTGGATCAACACTACATAGTGTGGCACTTACTGAAGACCTAACAGGTGATGTGAAAAATCCATTAGGTCTTAATCAAGCAGAAATCATTGCTGGACTTTCGCTTGACTTAGTTAAAAGTGCCAAAAGACTTATAAATCCAATGACACAACAACCATTTCGAGTTAAAATTGGTAAATTAATAGTTCTTTTGCTTTTTTTCTTTTTTCCTGTTGATTATTTCAAATTTCTTCATAGGTTTTCATTCGGGTCCAGCTGTTGGTGGAATTGTTGGTGCAAAAAATTTTCAATATTGTCTTTTTGGTGATACAATAAATACTGTAAGAAAACTTATATGAGTTTGTTATTTCTTCTTACTCTCATAAGATCAGAATTTTTTCAAATAAAAAAGAATTCACTGAATATTATTCAACTATAAATAAGTAAATTTTCTTTTTTTTTTTATTAGTTATTTTATATTGGATTAATTTTAATTAGTTTATCGTATGTTTTATTGATATTTTAGGCAAGTCGAATAACAACAACAGGAGAAGTACAGAATTTTTTCTTTTTATTAGTAATAATTTTTAAAAAATTGATCAATTTTAGCCAGGACGAGTTCATGTGAGTGATACATCTTATGCACTTCTTAAAGATACAGCTTATTTTGAAATTCAAAGTAAAGGCAAAACAGAACTTAAAGTAAAAAAAGAATGTACTCTTTACATTAAATTCCTTTTTTTTTGTGTAATTAAAAAACATTAGGGTAAAGGTACAGTAGAAACTTATTGGTTAATTGGTCCGAAATCTGAGTATACATCTGCTGTTGAACAAGATACATTTCGACTTCAGGATGAAAATCGTACAACAGTTAGTCAACATCAAGCAACTATGTATGAAACTGCTAATAAATCAAATCCGAATAATAATCAGGCGGCAGATCATTCATCACCAATAAAACAACCGACAAATCTTCAACGTAGACGAGGATCAATTGTTAGTGGTAACTGCCCATTTAGTAGTCAAAATTTTGGATTAAAACCATCTACATAACAAATTCAATTTCTATTTATCTTTAACATTTTATTTACTTATTTCGCTACAACTAAACTTGCTTAATAAAAAAAAAGAAAGAAAGAAATCTATGATTTGACAAAATCGTTGGAAACTTTTGATATAGCATTCTAAAAAAAAATAAGACAAAATAGTAATAATAATTAGATTTAAAGCTAATGTTAAGATATACCTCAAGATGAGTCAGTTTTTCGAATACATTGGAGACAGGTATAGTTTGATTACAATTATTCAATGGAACTGAAGTATCCACAGTTGTACATACAGGAAGTTCATTGTTTGCTATATTTGATTGTTGTATTGTTTGACAATTATCTGGTAATGGTTGTGGAGAAGAATAACATATTGGTTTTGTTGAAAGATTTGAACAACAAGGATTTAAAATTAATTGTTCGATATTACTTGGAGGAGTTATCATGGTAGTAACAACTCGATCAATAATATCATTTGCCAATAAACATGGCTGAAGAGATAAGTTTAAAAAAATATTTAGAACATACGAAAAGTAATGGCGGAAGTATTTTAATTCCTTAAAGAAATTTTCTTTCCATAAGACCTGATAGTGAAAACAATGCTATTTATTTCTCTGACGATTTCTTATCTACACAAAATACAGAAGCAAATTCATCAACTCTTTACATGTTGAAACTAATCGTGCTGGTTATTTTTACTGAATTGCATATGTTGATCCCATTCATCGAACGTTTTTTCTATAATCTTCTTTATTTCAAGAACTCATGAACTTGTATTTTAGAACGATACAACGATTTCGAATTGTTTTGCTCATTTAGATTTTGTTTAATACAAACTTTACGTGATGTGAGATGTGAAGAATTACTTAAGTGAACACTTGATGAACTTATTGCTGCATTTCTTTTTTGTTCTATCATTACCATTTTTTACCTATACCGTAATACGTATAGACGGTTAGACATTGGAGAAGACAAGAGCAAAGAAGATATACATCGAAGACAAAATGCCATCTACATTTTATAATAAATGGGCCTTATCAAAATTTTAGTATTATAATATTAATTGAAGAATGATAAAATTTTCAAAGAAATGTAGAGCATTGTTTTTACTCTTAGACCTTCTAGGAAGCAAGTTCCACTAAGGAAATAAATTACTTCCACCATTACTTTTCCTGTATGCCCTAAGTAATATTAAAAAAAAATAGTTTCTTTTCTTTTCATCATTACTTCTTGACTTAGAAGATCACTAACAAGTATTTGTGCACATTCAGCAACATCATGATATTCATCAGGACAAATTAAACATTGTAATTTATTGAGTATTTTTCTAACAATATATTCTGTAACCTAAATAAATGAAATTGATTGTTCATATGTTAAAATTTTCAAGTTGACATATTCATACTAATCCATCGACACCACATGATGAGAAAGTATTTGGATTTTGTTGATTATCATTTTGTTCATCATTACATGTAGACAAGAACTTTTTCCGATGTGTTATACGCACAGTTTCATTTCTATTTGATGGAAAAATTCTTTGACTACTATTGTTATTATTATTCGAATTTGTTGTACATGACGTTACTAAATTTTGATATTTATTTTGATATGAAAGCCAATCTTGAAAACGATTATGACGTTGATAAATTTTAGCTTTTAGATTATCAGGTATACAATATTGAGGTAACTGTTGATAATAAAATGCTCCATATTCTTGATTTGTTGTTCGCCACAATTCGGAACAATTTGCTGATGTAAAACGTGTTAATAATGTAGATTGTATTGGACGATAATCATCAATATTTGAGCAATAATTTAATGGTTCACATGGATTGATTACATATTTTTCACATACATCCATAACAGATATATATCATAGCAGAAAAAAATAATGAAAGAAAGAAAAAGATTAAAAAAATATTAACGCGGCACTCTTCATATGTTTTAATAAATTTATATTTAATGATTGAGTTTATTTTTTGTATTTTTTTTACTGCGAACTAAATTTTAATATTTTATCAAATTTTCGCTGTTTCATCAACATTTAAGATCTCTTTTGTATGCTAATTCAATAGGCTACATTTTCATAAGATGTACTTTTTGAATATCATGAATATCAATTAATTAATATTAATTCACAGTTATAGAAAAATGTTATTTGAACTTTTAAGCATATCATTAGAAAGAAATTTGAAAACTGTTTTTAACTTTATATTTCTTATGTCAAAAGAATTCATTTGAGTAAGATATTTAGTACAGCTAAAATCTCTAACGTAACTTCAAAGCTTGAGTTCAATCTATTTTACAGAGCAGACTATACACTTTCGAAAGCAATCCTGCTTTCTTTTATATAAGGCTCTCTTCAGTGGATGAAATGGTTTTACTTCTCATGAACAAGTTAAATGATATTTTCTAGTTCTCTTTCTTTGATAAGGCACTTAACCGAATTCAAAATCGTTGTACTAATCAAAGAATGTATAATGTCACAGACAGTTAGGTAGCATTTGTAAGCGTAACATGTTGCTCTATAAAATAAACTAAACCCAAGTTTTGAAGTAGTGTTAGAGAGTTTAACTGCGTTAAAAAACTTACTAAAATGAATCGTTTAGGGATAAGTAACATAAAGTGAAGTACAGTTTTCAAAGTTCTTTCTAATGATGTGCTTAAAAGTTAAAATAATATTTTTCTATGTCTATTAATTAATATTAATTAATTGACAGTAATAATATTCAAAAAGTACATCTTACGAAAATAAAGTCTATTGAATAGTATAGAAAAAAAGCTTTTTAGTAATGATTAAACAGCAAAAAATTGATAAAATAGTACAATTACCGTAAAGTTTATTACACTATAGCAAAATATATCGTGCAATAGAAACTCAAATAACTGAACTTAAGAGAGTATTAATATCTCAACTTTGTAGTTTATTTTAAAGACTACTCAAATCATTATTTGATATCTTTCATAGGCGATATTCGAGTAAAATTATTCACAATAGAAGTAGTTTCTTGAATTTTTGTTCTACATTTTATTAGGCAAGGTTTCAAAACTAATTTTCTAATTGAAGCACCTCTGAAACTGATGTTATACAAATTGGTTTGTTCAGAGAAGAAAATAATCAATCAACTTGATTTTTAATTATGATCTAATGAGGCCATGTTAGTATTCTATCATCATGTTGCGCATCTGAGGACAACGATAACAACAACACACTAATGTCCTCGTACTGACATATAAACCAATCAATTAATATATTCATATCATTGAAGGTATGCTTTTCTTTTTTATCTACCTATACAGGTAAAAAAAGCGAAAATAAACCAAATACCATCATAAATTTTCTTCAACTGTTCTCTTTTCTAATAGATATAGGTGATAAAAGATGATTGAACCTTGATCGTATGCTTTTTTTTGCTAACTTTCCTTTAATTATTATTGATTTATATGATCATTATATGTACTTATTTATCTACATATTTCATATATCTTTCAGTTACTATGCATGATCGCTCACCGTAAATACTGTCTCATGCTCATTCTTTCTCCTTCTTTTTTTTGTCTTCTGTTAGAAAAAGTACCCCCATATTACATATACGTATTTTAATGTTGGCAGTCAAGCATCCCGTTTATTACAATGATGATAGAATTTATTGTAATAGACATAAATTCTTGACAATCAATGATCAAGATTCTTTTTCTCAAAATGCTATGCAACACTATGATCTTCGTTTGATTATAGTCCGACATGCCGAACGTATTGATGTAGAACTTGGTGAAAATTGGTATGATCAAGTTTTTGGCGGTGTTCCATCAGCATCACCACGAAATTATCTACATCCATTATTACCACGTCGATTACCACATCGTTCAAATACTTTACTATATGTATTTGATCCACCAGCAACACGAATAGGTGAACAAAAGTCCTTTATTAAAGGACAACAATTATCTAGAGTTGGTCTTTCTGTTGATCATTGTTATTCATCACCTGCTTGTCGTAGTGTTATTACAGCAAATGCTATTTTGCATGGTATGAATCGAAGTAATACATCTATTCGTCTTGAACCATATTTATTTGAACCAATGTGTTGGAATACACCATTACAAGAACTTGGTATGATACCACCATTTATGTCAACTACTGAATGGAAAAAAGCAGGTTATAACATAGATCGACATTATCGACGAATTAATGATTACATAAATCCGTATGAAACTGAAGAAGATTTTTGGTTACGAAGTAAAATATTTTTTGACAAACTTGAACAACGTCATAGTAGTAAGACACAAAAATTTGGGTTTGGACGTGGATCTAGTCGACGTTCAAATATACTTATTGTTGGTCATGCTGCAACACCATTAATTCTTTCCAATATTGCTTTGGAGCAACCATTCGATCCTATGTTATTCGGACAACAATGTGGTCAAATACCATATTTACATACAATGATTCTTGAACGTAATGCAAAAACTCGTCTATGGAAAGTGCGATCTGCTTGATCTTTTGTTTAAAAATTGTAAACAGTCATAGTACAAAAAAAAGAAAGGAATATGCTATCAACTATACCTTTTTTATATGACCATGAAACGAGTAATAGAGACAGCCTTCATTATTATGCAAACCTGTCTGCCTTGTCGAAATCAGCAAGAAAAAGAGGCCATGCTTGATGTAATACAGGTGTTTTGATGTGTATGTAGAAAAAAACGATAGAAAGTGCATCCAAGGAGTGTGTGCATTATATAGGTAATCGAGCTATTAGGGAGAAAAAAAAGTGATTTTGATATCATAATCAGCAATGACCAACTCAAGTAGTAATATCGATTCATTACACATAGATGAAGAGACTTTGTTGGATAATACAACAAATAAACATCAATCTTCTAAAGGAACACCAATACCGATTAATATAATATCGACTAGATCCGATGATTCTTTTTATTTAAATCTACACTCACGTAATAATTCAAAAAGAAGATCTAAAAAGAAATCATCAAGTCGTAATTTTAATTCAAGAAAGGCTTCTCCTTCTCGATCATCAACAATTCCAATAGATTATGTATTCGAAAAATATCATCATCGTCATCATCGTCATTCTCGTCATCAACATCATGAACGAGAAGAAAAACAAGATCAATCTATTAATAGTTGCGATATGCGATTTTTTATTATTCGACATGGTGAACGAGTCGATCGCTTTTTCGGTCCAAATTGGTTTATGTTTGCATTCGATCAATATGGTCAATATCATCCGTATCATATAAATCTTCCACTCACTTTACCAACTCGTCCAAATCCATATTTTTGGGCATTTGATACACCATTAACACGTAATGGTTTAAATGCTGCAGAAAATGTAGGTCGAGTTTTAGGTATGAATCAATATGAACCAACACATGTTTATTCATCACCAGCTATGCGTTGTATTTTAACAACATATCAAATATTAAAAGGTCTTGGCTTAGAAAATAAAGTATCAATACGTATTGAACCTGGTTTATTAGAATTAGGTGCTGCAAGATTTGGTATGAATATATTTCTTAATTCAACTGATTGGCGTAATTATGGAATTAATGTTGATTTATCTTATCAACCTATTATGACAATTGTACCTCCCATAGAACGTGCCGATGCCTATTATCTACGTTCAAAATATGTTGTACGTGAAATAGAACAACGTCATGATAATACAAAGTCTCCATCACTTAATATACTTCTTGTTGGTCATGCAACATCACCTGAAACCTTAACATGGGATTTAGTTGGACGACAACCAAATGTTTATGATTTGTTCACATTATCATTAAATATCGGTTATCTTCAAATGGTTATAACTGAACGAAAAAAACAAAATAAACTTTGGTCATTAACACAAATACCTTTACGAGCAACAACACTCAAATGGGTTTAGGCTTATTATTTTTTTAATAATATTCACACAAAGAAATATTTATTTAATAAAAAAAAAACATGCCGATATTTTTTTCTTAATTATTTGTTTATCATCATATACATTAAGACAACGACGATATATATTTTTTTTTCTTATTCTTCTTTTCCTCCTTCTCTCTCTTTACAGACACACATACACATTTAAAAACACGACAAGAAAAAAAAAAGAAAGAAAACCATTGGAAAGTCGAATTATAGTTTTGAAAAGAGAAAAAAAAGAACATTTTGTTTTGTTTTGTTTTCTTCGAATTGTTCTATCGAAAATGTTGTTGTTGCCACATTGCAGCGGCATCATCATGTACACCACTCCAATAGGATTGTTGGGGATTAGAAAATGGTCCTTTCGATGAACCAGCTGCATTAGCCCTAAATTGTTGAAAATATGCATGCATCATATCCGCACTTGGTGATTGTCCATATTGTTGATGAAAACTTGGATGTGTTGATGTAATACCATATGATGTTAATGTACGTAAACTAGTATGATCAGGTTTGGCGCGTTTAAATGTTGATGAAGGATAATCACCAATAGCCGATGGTTTATTTTTTGGTTCAGCCGGTCCAACTGTTACACTCGAACCTGCGATAAAAGAAACAAAAAAAACAAAGCATTTTGTTTTTTTGAAAACAAAGAATTTTAAATAATTAATTTACCATTAATAATATGTGTACCAAATAATGTTCGTACAATATTTGAATCATGAAAGGTAACAAAAGCAAATGAACGTGCTGGTTTTGGTATATAAACATCTTTAATAGCTCCATATTTAGAAAAATATTGTCGTAAATCATCTGGTGTTATATTATCTGGTAGACGAGCAACGAAAATTTTACGAGCACATTCTGGTTCATGTATATTTGTCTAAGAAGACACAAAAAAGTTTAATATTGAATGAATCTATTACAAGATTACAAATATATTATATTTTCTATTTAGTAAAAGAATTATCAATCTATTGAAAAAAGATATGCAGGTAATATATGATATTTTTTCTAATTAATAGTAGAGATTTACAAACTAAAAGTTAGACAAATTTTTTCGGTCAAGATCGTAGAAATTGTTCTCATGGATAGGATGTACTAAAATGAAAATCACTGTAACCCAATCTCTCCCGCAACGCATGACTTACCACCAGGTAGTCCCTACTTCAATAGTATTTATCTTGCAATAACAAGTAGATTCGACTAACATATTTAACTTCATTAATCTATCTTAGCAAATAACTACAAACTATTCTTCTATCCCTACAAATTGCATGAGAGAAAAACAAAAAAAAATTTGCTAACCTTAGAATCTGGAATTTTAACATCCACATGTCGTCCATCAATAAAATGACGTTTATTTATAACAGCCAATTGAGAATCATAATTTTTAAATCGAATAAAACCAAAACCACGTGATTGTCCATTAGCATCTCGTTTAATCTATATAGAAATAAATTTCGTCAAAGAGAAAGATTTTTTTTTTCAGTTATTCTTACTTCACAAAATATTAATTCACCGAATGTTTCAAAACATTTTTTAACATCAGCTTCAAGACTTCGATAACTTATACCAAGTACAATTAAATCAACACAACGACGATTTGGATCACTTTCGTCTTCAGTATAAACACTATTTGTTTCTTGTCCATAATCAGGTTTTTGTGCTGCACTTTGTCCAATAGGTGATACTACTGGTTCATCTTGTTGTTCACCAACTCCTTTTCGTTTAATTTCTGATGAAACAGCTATTATAAGTGTAAAACAAAAAGTTTAGACATTTTTTTTTTGGTTTTATTCATTAAACTATGTAAACTTACGTTTTGAATAAACAGTAACATAAATAATATTTGGATCCCATGCACCATCTGGATGATACAGTTTGCCATCAACTACTCGGACACTGAGAGATAAAAAAAATAGATATGTATATATATGGCATAATTAAATACAAGTATAGGTTACATATAAGCTAAAAAGTGCAAAATGGGGAGGAATAGAACCACCGCACATTTCACTCAACACACGTAAAATCTAAAAACAACAAACAAACACGTTCACTCACCCTCTCCACACACTCGTCTCAGAATTGCGATATTTCAATGCACTCACACCTTGAAATTGAGCAGCAAGTGTGCTCAATGACACTGATCCATCAGCACCACCATCAATTGGAATTTCGACTATATCGGTATTTTTTCCTTCATCAGCTACTCGTATAAACATGTTTTTCTTTGATAAGAAATATAATAAACTAAAATAATATATATATATATATATATGTATATATAGACAGTTATTTAATTGTTAATCGATTAAGTGTCGCAAGTTATGCAACACAATAAACAAAAAAGTCCAGTAGTCAGAACAACCCCAAAAAAAAACAGAAAAAAGGAAGAAAAAGAAAGAGAAAGTATGTGTATCGGTCATGAAAACCTAGTCAATACGAAACGTAATCAAAAGAGGTCACTATCAATCATGGATAAAGATCACTTGTTTCATTCAGAGTTGTTTGATCTGCAGTTATTTTTAAACAATGATGATAATTTAGGGAAACATTTTTATCTGAAATACAATTTTAGTATATGAAATATTATTCATGTGATTCAAACTGGACAAAAAATCACCTGTTTACTGACCATTAATCACGGGTAGTTTGACACTGAAATGGTCGACTAGAATGCGGATGTGGGTGTCTCGAATGTTTTAGTCAGAATCTATTCTGAATTAATCCTAAACGCATAAAGCCTGCCAAATTTCCATCAAAATTCTACTACAGTATTCTAACTTGTTCAGAATCAGCTCAATATTTGTAAGTCTCTAAATTTCAATACGAGTCTTAATATTTGAACTTGCAATTTTTTCTAGATTTATTAAGCATTTATATTGAAATAGGCATGAGATTTAAGCTAGCAATATATCTTATATATTTTTACATTTGTATCCTGAAATGGAATTTGAAAAATGATTCAATTAGGATATTATATTTTAGTTATTTCACTAATTTTTGTCGTTAAACAGCTATTTTTATTAAGAAACAAATCATTTGATAAAAAAAAATATTCATAGACTGCCATATACATATAGAACAATTAGGAATAGATATTTTTGAATCAAGTTTAAATTAAAAATAAGTAGAGCAATATTTAATTCTTTTTTGAGATTATTGACATCATAAAAATATGTTCCTAATTTTGAAGACTACTTTCGGTCTCCAATTTTCTCCTCTTTCGTTCTCAGAGAACAGCAAACAGATTGCACTGAAAATTTTATCATAAATAGAACATTGAACATGATGACTTTCACATCCAAATAATGAAAAATTGGACATCATCAAAGTATCCTTATGTATCGAACATATTTCGAACTTACTTTTTGCAATATTTAACATCAAACTACTCATGAGTTTCAATACTCTTTCCATTATTCGCCACTTTCTTACCACACAAAACTTATTAAAAGCTTACTCGACACCAGCAATCAGCTTTTATTTAAATCTTAAATGAGAAAAGGTAAAAACAAAGGAATGTATTTTTTAAAAAATTACAGGAAAGACTATCTAGAAAAACAACTTAGAATGAATGTTGAGTAAAAAAGAGTTTTCGATAAACAAGGCTGATTGGTTTGGTTCGAATTAGCCATTCGTTCCGACGATTATTATAAATATAAATATCAACCATACCAATTCAATTTGCATGCCCAGAATATACTTGTTATTGTTTATCTTACTACCAATGTTTCTGGCAGTGCTCATGCTACTCGGAGTGGTAGTAGTAACACTCACCGTTATGTTAAGACCTGTTGTCTGGGTGTGGATGTGATTCAAGAGAACAATTACACCCTCACCCACACCCACACCATTTGTCTAGTAACTGTTATAGTCTAAAATCTTGACTAGACAGAGCGGTGATGGTTATTCAAATCTAAATATGTGGGGAAAGGTGGATGAGTTTGTTGTGTTGAAGAGACCCGTTTTTTAATGAAGTAAGGAACATTTTGCACAGATCTCGGTCACTTGGGAAGGTGTAATTGGATACATACTCAATCAGACAACAACATAACAAGTTGCAAGCGTTTTCTTTTGTGAAAAATGAAATTCATTGAGGTAAGAAACTATGGAGAGATGGATTCCACGAAATGAAAAATACTCATTTGATCAAGATGCAATTGATCTGAGGTAAGAAATTTTCTCCACTTGTAACACAAACAGAATAAAATGTTGACGTTGGACTGATGCTTCCCATCTAGATTTGTTATACAACATAGGCAACCAAAATGATAAGCTAAAACTTTACTTTCATAGTGTTTCCAGAAGAGTTTTCGATAAATTCATAATGTAAATAGATTATTCATCTCTACCAATTCGAATAAGTTGGAGTGCCCTCATTTTATCTTCTTTTATGACAGTATTTGTTATTTGCGATCTTGCTTTATTATTGATTATAGATATGCCAAGCATCTCATCTGCTAGAAAATCATCAATGGTCAAAACTTGAAATAAAATTTGAAGAAGCCGAACTTCATGAAGCTATTTTTCAGAGTATGTGTGCAGTAGCTCAATGGTTTGTTGTGAAATCAGTTGTTCTAGAAAAAAATAGGTTTCTACTAAAGAGAAAGGCTGTGCCTGGTCAAATTTGATTTTATCTCATGAAAGAACTGTGAAAAGAAAAACAGAAAATTTTGCTTTTTAGGATTCTGAGATTTTATACATCCTGTTCATGTATTCTAAGCAACCATTGTATTGCTTATTCCTGAGATTTATTTTTCTTAATGAAGCAATGGAGCTAGATTTCATATGCTTCTATTCATCCAAGGCAGAATGAAAACGAAAGAAAATTTGAGGTTGTTCGCCAATGCCGAATAGATGACAAAATGAAGTTTACCTCTAATCTTGTCGTTGAATATGAAATCATCTTGAAATTGACAAACTAATATTTTTAGTTTCGATTGAAAAAAAATGTATCATATCACAGCAATGAAAAACATTCAAGAAAATATAAGTACTACACTCTATAGAGAAATATTTCCCTCACAAAACAAGATTGTTGCAGATAGTATTTGATTACTGTAACTTGCGATGAGAAACAAGGCACTATGCTATTGAAACCGGATTCAGCCTGAGCCCCATACTGATCTTGTTATAATAGTCACTTTTTTAATAACAGCAATCACTTATTATCCACAACTGCTTGGAGTTCTAGAGAAAATATTTCTCAAAGAGAGTAGTACATAAATTTTCATTTATTGTTCCTTTGCTTCTTTTTGTATCGAGCCTTGATGAAGATTCACGCTTATTTATTGTCGTAGCAATTATAAAATTAATTGGTTGAGATTTTGGTTTATGTGTGCCAAGATGAGCGGAATTCACGTTCGCTTCTAGGTGAGAAAGGCAAGCCAATTACATATTACGACTAATTATACCATGCTTTTTTTCCTCAAAAATAATAAAAAAGGGAAAGTAATTGTTATGCATCAATATCATGTTTGATTGATCATTCACAATCTGATATACATGATATTGTCCAAGTATAAAAAATTGAAAACAAGGTAATAAGAGAATGTAATATGAAACATAAAGAATCTGTTGCACAATGCGCAGCAATCAAACCAAACGGTGAAGTGTTCTGATTCGGAAGGTAATCACGACATACAACTACAGTAACTAGTTTGGCATTCAATAAATGACTCATTTCCTTAACATTCTCGGATAATCTCAAGTGGTTATTCGAATGTTTTCGACCATCGATTATCAATATCTCACAAATATGGCATAATCATTGTGCATCAGTGATAGATATTTGATGTCATTGCTTGAGGTTCAGAGTTAACCGAAATCTGTGTCCAACAAGTTGCCAAGAATGATTAGAATGCTTTTACCACTTGTCTGCTACTACTCATCCAAGACTCATTTATCTATTTTTCATAACATCAACAGCAGTCATAGTAAACGAAGGTACTTTACTGATTTAGAATCTGCCATTTATTCGAAACTTGTTATGAAAAAAAGTAAAATACCAGACGTTTCTTCTGAAAATATCAATCAATTGTTTGGCTACTATTTAATAGAAATAAAAATAATTATCGTTTATTGATCAATATATAACAAGTCGTTATTTCTCACGATTGTTTTCAATGAATCACTCGGAACTCGACTGCGGAATCAGCAAAATAGTGCCTCTTTGGCGTATTATGCATGACTCGACTATGGCATGACGAAAACATATTGATAATTTAAAATATAGATTTATACACACATCTGTACAAGACTTTACGTTAAAAGGTTTTTGATGACTTCTAGATGTAATGAGAAAGAAAATGAAAAGTCATAGTTGCACTATTATTTGTGTGATCAATGTATGATAGCTCTTTTCAAAACATGTACTGATTCAGTGAGGAACATTCCCATTAGAAGTCTCTAAAGAAGGAATACATAGTTGCTTAAAAAATTGTTAATAGCTGCTGAAAGCATGTATAACATTGGATCGATCTTGTTGACATTTCAGTTTTAACAACAGAAAGTTCTTCTCTTAGTGAACGTTTCAATCGTTTTCATAAAGGTTGAGATGAATCTTTATTGTCGTCAGACGAGGACCTTTCAATAAAAGAAAATGTTTAAAATATTTTCATACTATTGTTGATTTATACAAGGTTATAAAGGGTGTTCCATAATAACTGTCCATCTTTTGTTAACAATATTCTCTCTAGCTTTAACTAGTGGTAAAATACATCAACAACATTGATGTACATAAATTTTTCTAGTAGATTTTTGCACTGTTTTTACAGTCAAAATAAAATCTAAAAAAAAGCGAGCAGGAAAATGTGTGTATTTCAATGTTGTTGATGTATTTCACCACCAGTTAAAGCTAGAGAGTTAAAACTTTCAGGAATAAAAGATCTTCGTTCGATGGATATGTGATAAAAATTTCACCTCTTTCTGTCGAAAGCAAGTATAAAAAAATATTGTTAACAAAAGATGAACAGTGATTATGAAACATCCTTTAGTCGTTGAGTTTTGACACTTTAAATTTAGCATAAATTCATTAGTACTGAGTAGAAAAATCGCATTTGCAAATGCAATGATTCATATAAACCACACTCTTTTTCATCAACTGGTAAACTTGTATTCATGCAAGTGTTCTACAATCATGAAAATCAACTTTGTTTACACTGTCTTTAGATGGCTTGGTTAAATCAATAATTGATTCAATCTGAGAAAATCTCTGCAAAGAGACAAAGCTACAGATAGTACCAAAACTATTTTGACGTAGATCGATATGGAGAGTGTTTCAAAAGTCTGTGAGATGTAAAATATTTTTTAATAGCTAAATTTGAGTCCCCTGTAGTGGCGAAATAAAAACTGCAGGTCGAGTTTGGTGACAATTGCCAAGTGTGAGTTGAGCGACTGGTACAATAGAACATAAAGAACATTCTGAAAGAGGATCAAAAATAACAGAAGAAAATATCAGCGAAGTTTATGATGATTGTGAAAATCACTCACAATTGAGTATTCGAATTGCTACAATAGCATATTGAATTATGACTAAATATGCTTCATAGAAACCGTACAAGCTGCACTTGGTCCAATAAGTTTATAACAATAAATTTAAAGTGAGAATCTACCTGTTTAAGACTTATGTAACACTTGGAGTGAATTCAAAGTAAGAATGGTTTTTATGTATTTCAGTTGATGGTCAAGACGACTAAATATTTTGAGTCTAAGATAAGCTCAAGATTTTTTTATAAAATCATCATCTGAAAGTTAAAAATGCAAGAAAGCGAGCTTTGGAATATCATTTATAGGAAACATAGTTAGTGTTTCTTTTATCCAACTCACATTTTGCAACGTAGAATGACGTCGAAAGTAGAGGAAAAACAGATGTTTGTACCAGAAATGTGATACACTACTCAGATTTATCAATTTAATGGAAGAAGAAAATGCCACCTATGCTTATTGGACACGAGTTAGTTTGAGTATTTTGTTTAAAAAAACAATCAAATCGTCTGAATTGTATAAGAAATAATTGCATAAAGTTTTCTCACAGACTTTGAAAACGCCCTATGTATTAACAGAAGATTTAACATGTCAAAACAACAATATCATTTATTATCAGATGAAACAACATTTTCAACAGATTCAGTATCCATTTTATAAAGATTGTTTTGATCATCAGGCACATGAACAGATCGTGGTGGTCGATATTGTCCTTTTCCAGCTGCTCGTTCAGCTTCTTCCAATGTATATGCTTCAGTTTTTAAACCTTTTACTCTTCGTTTATGAACTTTACTTTTTAAATGATGTTGTAAATTATGATCATCGATAAAATATCGTCTATGTAAAATATAAAATAAACATATTTTAATTGAAAAATAAATTTTATTCTCTTACGCGCAATAAAGACAATAATGTTGAGCTGCACCAGGTACATCATAATCAATTGGCTGATTTAACAGCTGACGAGCTGTTTCAGCAGCCATATTTGCTTGAATTTCATCGAAATCTTTGGTTTTTCGTTTAGTTTTTAATATTTTACCTTTTTTATCTACACCACTATGACTTTTATTTTTCGAACGAGTTTTTTTCGGCATTATGAAACTAAAATTGTGAACAAATTTTTTCTTATATTGAATGGTTCGCTATAAACATAAACCAATCAAGTAATGATCAACTTTTTATGACCTCTATTGCATAGAAAATTTTATTTGAAAATATTAAAAAAAAATAATTCATTTTTCTAAATTAAACTTTAATTCTTAATTAAGATAAGGATACTAGATGCCGCTGAATATCAATAAAAAATAGATGTCACTCATATGTTTATTTCATTTCTTCTCTCCAGCTGTTTTGTTTATTTATTTTATTTTTCTAGTTGATTTTGATCGATTGGTTTACATTTCGTCTTTTCTATTCTGTCTTCTTTTCTTGTGGTTAGAAAAAAAAAAAGGTTTTTTTTTCTTCTTCAAAGAAGAAAAAGAAAATCAAGACATGGCTTCAACATTATCATCTCCCGCATTATGTCAACAATCCCAATGTGATGCATATCAATTTACTATCTGTCGACATTGTCAATTATTTCTTTGTATTAGACATTTAGCTGAACATCAACAACAATTTCCAAGTGATTTTCAACGTTTATTAGATGATGCACGTAGACAACAAGCACAATTAGCATCATTTGATAAACGATTAACTGAACAACGTTTAAAATTAAATCAAGTTCTTGATAATGAAATGGAACATTTTAGACAATTAAATGCTTATGTACAATCAAAAGCATCAGTATCAAATAATATTGGACCAGATGATTTTGTTAATATGCGTTCATGTCTTGCACGATTACAACAAACAGCTGCTTTTTTACCTGTTATTGATAAAATTGGACAATTAATTGGTGAACATGAATCAGCCACAGGTTAGTCTTTTTTTTTTTTTGAAAGACATGAAGATGATACTATTTGTTTTTAATTTTAGCTACAAATACTAGTAATGCACCATTTAATGATGAAAGTTTATATGGTACATTTGGCGGTTTGTATTAACAATAAACAAATAAATTTATTCGTCTTGTTGTTGTTGGTTTTTTGTTTATTATAGATTCACGATTGTTTTTGATATCAAATCTTAAACACGACCAAAATAATAAAAATGATCGGCCTCGTTCAGAAAATATTTCAGATCTACTAAGTTAGTAATATTTTTATTAGATAAAACACTTATATTGTTCTTTTAATTTGATACTACGGTTTTAAAATTTATATGAATCTTAGAAGTAACATGTGATAATAACGAGTGTCCTATAAATAATAACATTGTGTAGTCTGTTTTTATCTTATTTATTTTGTTGGTAGAAAGCTACAGTTAGTTGCAAACGATTTATTATAAAATCAGATGAGAACATTGAATTTCTTCGATTTCAAGAGAATGTTTTCCAAGCCATTGTCGATATTTTATTTTAAGTAGGCGAGTCATGACGTAGAAACATTATTATGTGAATAGATTTCGCTCTTTGTACTTATGTGCGCAGTAATCAACCGTTTCAAAACACATCGTGACATAGAAAAGAACTTTTTTATATTGATTGGCAAACCCTATATTTAGTAGAAATATTCATTTCATTTGAGTATAAACGTGAAATTTAATCATAAATGTGTCATCTTTTTTTTTCCGTCGACTTTCTTGCAGACTGATCGAGACCTTACGTTGAAAACATTCCACTCTAGTTCTTCTTCAACATGCAAATCTTCTATATTACGTTTGGTGTTACTGTGTTATTCCTCCATATATGAGTACCATCAGAGCATTTCTTTTGTTTGGGTTAACCTTTGTTTTCCAATAAACATAACAAATTGTTTGCCACAAGTCAGGACGAAAACGTCGAAGAACAAGTTAGAAAACTTTGTTATTCTGCTAAGTGTCAGTCTAACCTATAGCTCCCATTCTTATTCTCAGCAGTTTCACCACGATTTGAAGCAACTAGTTTTATTTTTCAGGGCTATTCGATGATTGATGAAACTAATTTATTTCTTACCTAAAACTTTTTGAATGCGGAGTAATCTTGGTTCTTTTCGTCAGAGATTATTTTTTTGTCTACGAAACAAGCATTTAACGTAAATACTCAATAAGATTAGCTTCCATAACAAAAACTCAAAAGTTTTAAACAAAAACTCTTCAAGACCTAGACCCTGTTCCATGGATAGTCTATACAACATGCGCTTCTTTTTAAAAAGCTTATCTATATACCTTTTAGGACTTTTATTAGAACATACTATAGCATCTACGGGCTCAAAAAACTGATTGAAATTGGATGGAGAGTAATTGAAGAGGTTCCCTTATTAGTATTATTTATTTTAATGAAAATATCTACAGATTATTTAAGTGTTCACATTCTATTTAGATTCTTCTTCTACTTCTTATTCAAATCAAGATCTTTCATCATCAAATAGTAAGTTAGAAAAAAAAATCAATATTAAATAAAATTTCTTTTATTTCATTTATTCTCTAGTCGAAAAAGTAACAGAAAACGATGATGAACTACCAGAAATGTAAATATGTCACTTTATTTCAAAAAATTCTTAATCACTTGTTTTTTTTTTTTCGTTATAATTCTAGTGAGACTAATCAACCTCATAATTCATTAACGGTATTTTCTTTTTTCATTATCTCAAATCCTAATTCTCTAACCGAAAAAAAAAATTTTTTCTTTTGTCGTAGGTTCGAGAATTAAAAACTTACAAATGTGACTATTGTCCATTAACAACCAATACATATGGTATTGAACGACATCATCAAGTTCGTCATATTCCATGTATACGTCGTTCAAATTCTCAAATATCATTATTTGAACATCTTAAACAATATCATTATTTGAATTATGCAGCATCAATGCAAATTGTTCGTCTTGTATCATCGGGTGATCTTGATGATCATCCAACATTATTTTCATCAGCAAATGAAGCATCAATTGTTTCAATACTTCCATCATTTTTTCGTGCACCATGTCCATTAACACGACATAATGTATTTGGTCTTGGACCTATGCATGGTATACGTTTATGTTCACCATCAGCTGAACAACAAGATTTTGCATTATATGATCATTTTCTTGCATATCATCAATTAAATCGTGCAAGTGCTATGAAATTAGTTAAAGCTATGATGAAAAATGAAAATTCTAGTCAACGAATATTATTTCGACCTGATGAACAAGTTTTAAATGAAACAGCATATGTATCATGTCCATTAAGTAATTATAATGCTGTTTTACCACATCAAGAACGTATACCACATACACCGTGTCAATCAACAGTTAAATTACGTTATTTAACTGGACATTTACGTGATGTACATCATTTAAATAAAACAGCAGCCAAACGTATTGCATCAGCATTACGTAATGAACAGGGAACTATTGATGGAAGATCGATTGGGTTATTTGAAAGAGATGAAAATATTCTTAAATCAAAAAAGAAAAAAGTAAAATGATTTGAAGTTATCATTATTGTTTTTTGTGATGGTAGTTATAGATTTGTAGATTCGTACTTATCTTATAGTTATGAGTGAGTTAGTAGGAGAGTTCAGAATGACTACACAGCAATTGATCTAAACTTTACGAGATTTGATTTAAGCTTAGGAATTATGCTAACTATAATAAGAATATGACGGGTATGATAAGTCAATTTCAGAATCCGTGCATTGCATTCATGCTCTTTTATACGTTTGAAACTGTTGAATTTGACTACTCATCAAAATAATAATTCACAAAACGTCTCTATAGATTTCTAGTATTTAATTTACAATTATTTATCGTCTTATTAAACAATGAAATACCAAATATATTGAGTTACAGATCATATTTTATATACATACAATATTGCTTTTACATAGACACAGAACATATGAATCAGTCTGAATTGATACACGTTAGTAGAGTTAACAGATTGAAATAAATTACTAACTATAATAAGATGATATTTTAAATTCTTTCTTTTAGAATAATGTAAATCGTTTTCGACCACCAGCACAATTAGCCAAATATGTTCAGCAAAATAATAATCATAATCAACAGCAACCTCCACCACCTATATGGTGATTAGTTTCCAACACGTATACATTTAATTATGTCTCCTTCTTTTCTGGTTCCTTACCTTTTTTCGAATACATTTAGTGTTCTGTTTGTTTTTCTTTTTCTTCGTTTTTTTTTTGTGACTCGATACATTAGTAAATGTGTCTTCTGCTTTTTTCCTTCTCCTTTTTTGTATATAGTTGTTTTCTATGTATGATTATTAAAGCTTTCTTTTTTTTCTTATTCCTTGAATGGTCTCTGCATCCCTTGTTTTTTTGTTTTCCGTTTATCGTCACGTTTCTTTTCATGTACATGCATGTGTGTGTGTGTATTATGGTCATTGTTGAATATAGATGAACAACGACACAATACAAATAATAAGAATATCTTTCGAATTTGAAAGAAAAAATGTTCATCATTGACTTGATTTCTCTTTTTCTTTTAATCTCAAGTATCTTCTCAATAGGCGGTGACGTGAAAATTGTTTGAATATACCTGAAAGATCGAGCGTTTTTGTTAGAAATTCACACACATTGCAAAAGGATAGTATTAACCGATCACTTTTTAAAATAAAAAGCTCTTGAGAGCTAGCCAAGGAAAACACAAAATACAAAATGTGCCATTATTTATGAGTTATTCATTATAAACAAATTTTATTTGTCTAAAAGAGTAAGGCATATACTAATTACTCAAAATATGTTAGGCATTGTTCTTAAAAATTGCTAGTTGAATCATGGTTTTCTATTCGTATATTCATGAAACATGAAAATAATTTTGCATTCGATCTATGGTTCAAAAGATAATTTTGACATTTTTTTTCTCAAACACTCTTGAATGATTCCATTGAACAAAACTAGATATATTTAAAACAGATTTTTTTCAATTACACTATATCAAAGCATAATCTACAATATTCAATTTCTCGTAATGCTACAGGATGTTTCATAAATCTTGAGTACTCGTGTCAGTCTTTCAAATGACATATTAATAAAGAATATATTCTCTTGTAATAATAAAAATGAGAACAGGTTTTTCGCAATCAATCAACAAGATATTTATTTAAAAAGAATGAAAAAAATTCTTATATTAATCTGATTACAGACGAATCTTATTAAACTATCATGCGCCGGTTGTGCAACACTGTTTATTCGTCAAGCCTCTTAAAAATTTTATCGATTATTACAAAGAGTATTCTTGATGTAGAATTATTCAGCACTGTATTAAAGTCCTTAAAAGAAATCACGTTCATCAGTTACGAACAGTTTACCTTCATTATTATTATTGCAAGAGAAGATTTTATTTAATAATATATCATTTGAAAGACTGACACGAGTACTCAAGACTTATGAAATACTATGTACGAGTTTATCCGTAAAGAACGTTCAGAAAACTAGGGGAAAGAAAATGTCAGACACATCTTGATGTCCAAATACTTATGACGATTCTTTTACCGCTTTTAAAGCATTTTTCGCAAAATTTTCACGATAAATTGGTTTCAAAAAGAACAGTTTCTTGACGCATCATCTACATCTGTCTTTTAATACCAAAAACAAACAATATATCGGAAAAGTAGGCTTTTTCTAGAAAATTTCGAAAATTTAGTACTGCCAAAGTTTTCTTCAAATCACATCCTCAATTAATTGAAAACTTGTTTCTTTTTTGTATTGATTAAAGCTTCAGTCATATTGAATCGGCTATAATGCAAAACTATATTATTTTTACTATGTAATCAGATAATATTATCTCAGGCACAGTGTCTACCAAGGCATTGCGTCAAGCGAAAGCGGATCCAGGTTGATTTCTTTTTCTTATGAATTACAAACTGATTCTTCGTTTCTAAACAGTCTTGTATAGAAAGAAAAACAGAATCCAGGCACAATTGCAACTAAAACAATTAATGACTTTTGTAATTTTCTTCTATCCGTTTCTTATGTTCTTACATCCTTCTGTTTAATAAATTGAATTGATTTTCTTGAATTTTTGCCAATTGGTAATGATCTCAAGAAATTCGTGTGATTTTCTGAAATCCAGTAGGATTCTGTCTTTGACTGTAAGTAAGCCTGAAATGATCGATTAGAATTTTTTCAACTGAGAAATCAAAATAGAACAAATAATTATATGATTTTACGAATGCTTTGTAATCTAGTTATGATATAACGAAAAAACAATTGAACAATCATGAAATATTTAAATATGTCTTCGTCTGATTAAATAGGATAAATATACACTAATTATTAATTTCTAGATTTATTCTTGAATCATGTATTTTTTTAAATAAGAATTTCATTAATGTGAAACTCATTATCATCACGTACAAAAACCTACATAGAAAAAATAGTTTTCATGGTATTCGAAATTCGAAAAATTAATATCTGACTTTTTTTTTTCAAATACATAGAAAACTATACGCCTTCATACATGACGCTAGTTAAAATATCTGTATTATCAGTTCGTTCTAAACAAAATGAAAAATTTCTGTTTTTTTTATATTACGCCATTGTAATGTTATAATGTAGGCAGATAGATATGCTATAAGCAACGAGAGAGAGAGAGACAGAGAAAGAAAACTGACAGCCTATAAAAAGAGAATCTTTTCAATGTATTTTATTATAATTTTAAAATTGTTACAAACAAATTACGATGCATCGAAAGGTATGTGAGATTTTGTTCAGTAAAAAGATATTTACTTCTGATCTATTTTATCTCATCATTTGAAAAAAAAAGGTTCTTTTATGTGGCAGTGTCATTTTAATACTGTTCATATTATCTATTGCATATGTCAATGGAGAAGATGCAACAGTAGCTACTACACGTGCTGATTCATCATGTGAAGATGGCGATTGTGAAATGGGAACAACTGTCGAAGAAGGTAAAAAAAACAAGAAACTTCTTTACATAGGATAGTTAATAATACGTTCAATTTCTTTATTTCACTATCATTTTATTCTTTTTAATTTAATTTAGTTACAACAATAAAAAGTGTCTCTGAAACAGGTCAGTTAAATTTTTTTTATATTTCATTTTCTTGTTATTGATTCTGAATTAAATTAGCTGAAACAGTTGAAACTACACCAAAATCAAGTCAGTTGAATATTTTATATTCATGTTGCTTGTTATTTACTTTATATTAATTTAGCTACAACAATTCGAACTACGAGAAAACCAAGTCAGTTGAATGTTTTTATATTGTTTTTTTCATCTATTATTGCTTTCAAATTCATTTAGCTACAACAACTAAAAGATCGCGCAGACCATGTGAGTTTCTTGTTTTTTACTTTCTATTTCTTATTAGTTTCAAATTTCCGTATCATATTTTCATACACACACACAGCTAAATACGACGTAAGTAATACATCTGCGAACTATTTTCATTATTTGGATTTTTGATTACAATTAGAATAAAAGAAGACGTCCAGGTTATGGTAAGAACCGTGATAACAATTATGATATCATGGATGAGAATGTACGCTCACCTTTGGACTCATTAAATGTTTGGATCGCCTATGGTAATGGCTGGATACTTGACGATAAATCAAGATATCGTGGACAAGGACATGGTAATTATCGTAATAATGCAGATTATAGTGAAGAAAAAGATTATGAAGAAACCAGTGATGATGATGATGATTCTAAGAAAGAAAATTATAGCAAACAACGTTTATATGCACGTATTCGTTTTCCTGTTCGTCATTATCGAAACTATCGTCAATTTCCTATCAGTAAATTTCATTTGTCTTAATGTTTTTTTCTCATTCATAGAAATGCGTTTACTTTTTATTAGAACGTTTTCCACCACTTGTTTCAATTGCTCCATGGCTTCCAATCTTTTATGATAAAGTTACTTATCAAACAATCATTTTTTCACCAACAGGCGGCAGTAAGTTTTTTTTTTTTTTTGTTTTTACTAAATAGAAAACTAAAAATACATTAACTTTTTTCGTAGTTTATATTTTACCACCATTGATCAATTTTTATGGCCAACGTTTTGCTGTTGCTCAACTTATCAAGTGGGGATATGCTTCATTAGTTAGTACAGGTGCATCTCCACCACCTAATGTTGATGTAGCTCCACTTATTCAACAACCACCAGGTTTGATAATAGTTCTTTTTTTAATTTGCTCAAACTTTTCATAACGTTACTCTTATTTTTTTCAGTTACACCTGTTAATGCCGGTGGTGCAGTTCCTTCGACACCAGGTCTTGCTTTTGATGAAAAAAGAGTTCAATTTACTGATGCTGTTAAAACAAATTTTCTTTACATTAAACCAGATTATGGTCAAACTTTAGTTGAAGGAGGATATGATACTTATGAACCAACGTATGACAAAAACTATGGCTCGCATTCAAATTATGATACAACAAATAAACAACAAGTTTATGCTCAAGATTGAGAACAAATGGCTGATAGTGCTGCTTATTAAAATATAAAGAACTTATTTTATTTCATTTTTTTTTCTTTCGTTTTTTTTTTCGCATTCATCTTCATATGCAAAAATAAGAGTGTCATTTTTCTACTTCTCATATATCTTTTTAATATTCACAATAATAAATATCTATTCATGAAAAGAATTCATGTAACATTATTTCTTTTTTTTTACTCGGAGAATATCATTACAAAATAATATTAATGTTTTAGATTTTATTGTTGTTCTTACTCTAAGATGGGCGTTTTTATTTGAGGATGGAAGCAAATCAAAAGACTTGAAAGTTTCACAATAAATTGATGTAGTATCTTCGTAGCAATAAACTACGGATTTAGACTTGTTTAAAGATATTCAAAATTCATTTGAATCTACATGATGTACATAGTCCCGATTTGAACGTGTTTAATAAGTCGGAGAACTACTCTTGCTTAGTCAATTGTGTTATAAATTCAAAAAAAAAGATGAAAAAAAAATCAGTAACGATAAAATAGCGATAAATCTAAATGCGTTCTGTTCCATGTTTTTGTTTAGTTATTCATATCATACTATTCCTATATACTAGACATGTATTACGTTTCATAGCTGTATGATTATATCGACATGTTTCACTTGTTAAATGAAGATTTCATTTGGAATAATGATGAAAAACTAACGGACTTACAAAACAATTTTGTTTCATATAATTTTTCAGACGAAGAATATAGTTAGGAAATAAACTCATATCATCATTCATTATCCATAGATCACCATTACGTGAATAAAAACGATGACTTTGTTTAATTCTACGAATACCATCAATTAGAATCATATGTCCATAGAGACATAATCAACGATAAACAAATATATCTTGACTTGTCCAACAATTTCGTCCATCATATCTAGGACAATATGGAAGTAAAAATACCAAAGCATCACGATGTATTGTATTAAACACAGTATCAATATGATAAACAATTTGTGTAAGAAGATTAGTATATGCCAGTGGAACATATGTACTGATATAGTTGCAATAGCAGATGAAATCGAAAAAAGAAATACATCAAAGAGTAAAAAACATTTTTCTTTTTCAATTAAAAGTTTCGTTAAATTAATAAATGAATAATAATGTGAAATAAATAAATATTCTTCATTATGATCATAATCAATAATTGTTTTATTTGTTAATAATTGTTCTGCAAGTGAACATGTTACATGAATATTACCATCAACAAAATTATAATATGACCAACGCCAACCTTGTTTTTGTTCTTCATTTAATGCAAATTCATATAATTTATTTCTTGTTGTTGTTCATATTAATTTTTCTTTTGATATTAAGTTCTTTTTCATTTATAATAAATATACGAAATTTAATATAAAATTATTCATAAATCATACTATTAGTTTTTTTGAATCACTTTCACCCTTTGAATGCTATGAATTAAAGTCCTGTATCGGACTTCAAAACCCGATTTCGTCAGAGTTATTAGAAGAATTTTTTCAGAGTCAAATTTTGGTGTCATATCAGTAAAACTGGTAAGTATTTTTACTATTACAATTAACAAGTTTATTCTTTATATGCTAAGTAAAGAACAAAAATACACTATTTTACAGATTCATGAATGCGTACGTTTCAAGAAAAAAAACACATTAGAGAGACATTTTCATTAACAAATAGCACAAAAATAAGTAATTATACTAGTCAAAAAAAGTTGTTGGTGTCCAGTTTTGGAGCTAACAAGTTAAACTATACAGAACTCCACTACGAACCCTCTTAATGATCTTTAGATATTATCGGCGACATAGACATGAATCATAATCATCACTTTTGGTTTCTTTTCACAAAAAAAAGAACAGTGAATTTCAAGCATCAAAAGCTGCGAGAAAAAATCCAGATATCATCGAGTCTACTTGTTTTAATTTATGAACCAAAGATTGACCCAATCGTGTTACAGAAATGGGATTAGTTCGTGTTTATTCGAAACAGAATCATCCTATCTCTGTGACAAACGTTTTCGTTATCAAAGAATTTTTAGTTGATGTATCTTTTTGGATATTGTCCATTCTATTCGAACCATCATACATCCATACGAATTTGCTTATATTTTATTAGAATAAAGAAAACCATAGCATAAAAAGCAAAGAATCTTCTAGATGCAAAAAGCAATGTCTCAACAAAAGATACAGCAAATCATAAGAACAGTATTGCCTAATGTTTCCTTCACCCACCCCTTTCTCTGTATAGTAAGAGTTTGGTATCTTCAGATCAGGCCAAGAGATAGGATTAGATTCGGACGCCAAACTCATTAACCTAGGTAATGAATATGATTCTTTAAATTTCGAATTGTTTCTACGATAAAATAATGATATTGGTTGAAAAGAAATCAATTTTTTATTTCTCTTTATTTCACTTAACCATGTATTTATATAAAGATGAATTGATGAACGAAAACGAGATGAATTACAATTTTCACGCCAACAATAAAATATAGCATCAGCTGTTACACTAGGAAATATTTTAGAATATGCATCAACTTCTATTTAATTTTCGCATAGAGATAAACAAATAATAAGAGCCAACGTTGGAATAGATGATATTTTTGTTGATTTTAAATTCATTTTTCCTTGGTATTCAATAGTAGTATATAATGATATTGAATTCCATTGAAACCAAAGTAACCAACGAGATATTATTATTGTTATAAAAAATAATAAACTTCGATATGTTTAAGTAAAGCAACATTTTAAAACAAGTTTGTGTTCATTAATATTTCGTCGAAGTGAAAATTCAACAGACATGATAATAAATATAAACAATAAGTCAAGTATATAATAATGAGAATAAAAAATCGATAAAGTAAACTGATTGTGTCATACATACATTTTTCTTGTTTCATATGATGATTAACATTGCATTAGCAATGTTATGAAAGTGCTAAAGAGTCTATGATTAGTGCATAAATTTCTTTTTGTACTGAAAGAAACGTATGTGTGAAATAATTTGTATTAAGCAGAACGTCTTATTGTATAGAACCTTGAATAAGTATCAATTCTGATACAAGTTGTACGAATTGAAATTTAAGAAAAGGTTTTTTTACAAAAATAAAACACACTCAATTTATGACCTTTTCTTTAAAGAAATCACTATAATAGTCTTCGATATTTTGACATCATATGTATAATGAACATATTACATCGCTGGATGTCATCGCTTGGAACAGAAATATTTGATTGACTATTATTATATATATTGCTAGTCGAGTAGCATGCACCATAAAGTATCCCTTATCTTGGTGCATCGAGCTATAAAATCGTAAGATCTTATTGGTATTCTATTCGTCATAAGAATATATCCGTCCATCGAATCAACACCATTCGCTAACATTCATGATGCTAGCAATTAGAAAAGAGAAGAAGAAATTCTCTTTTCCATGCATTCCATTTTTCGCAGTAGATCAATGAAACAGCGAGATTGAAACAATCGTCTTTGGCAAGTCGATTTAACATTAACCAGTGACAATGATCCAGAGCTCCATTCATTTACTCAACACAAGCGTGAAGAGACTAATCGTCAACATGAAGAATAGAATCGTTTAGTTATATTGCTAATTATACTTGGTAAATTCAATAAAGCTCAAGAAGTATATGATATTCTGCTTGATTAAACAATGACTAGTCTAGAAAAAGCCTCTATTTACCACTATCTCGGACAAATGAAGAGAAAATCAAGGTGAATTTGTAGGTGCAATTAACTGTTATAAGAAATGCACTGAAATTGAGGAGAAGACTTTCCCGCAAGCGATTATGTTTTCGCCACTACTGATGGCGAAATCGGCTTGGTATATTACGAAATAGATGACTATTTGAATGCACTTTCATTTCATCAAAAAACATTGAAACAATATTCATCTAAATATCGAAAAATAGATCTTTTATGAACTTCATTTTATCTTCAAGAAAGTCATTTTCCAAACTATTTTCATGGAGAAATGTATTTCGTCAATGAATTCGATACGAGAAAAATAAAAAAAAATATTCTATAATTAATTCAACAAAGACTGTTTTTTTATCATCTTTAAATAAAATAATTTTATAGAAATATTTCCATGTTAAGTTCACAATTAATTGTTGGTATTCAAATCTCAAAACCAACACATTTTAATACATTTTGCAGTCGAGTGAAATGCAAATGCCATCTAGTTATTTTGACTGGTTATAATCATAATTGATCATATATAATGACTTGATTGTTCATGAATTATTTATTTATCCGTTACGCTAAGTTATTACTCGCAACCCCTTATTCATTTGCCTATTATCATTAGTGGATATAAACTGTTGTCTAATTCGGTTTATTCTCTGATCTACACTTATTCTGTCATAAAATATCTGTCGTTGTTATGTTTTTTAAACAGATTTATCACATACATTAAAGAAATAATCATAAATAAACTTTATTTTAAGCTGTTTATTTTTCCTGTAAATATATAATATTTTTAATTAATGTGTGTTTCTTTTGATCATTTTATTTCGATACTTATGACTTCCTAGCATTCTTCTCATGATAGGCTTCTGCTTCCATTCAAGCATTATTATATTATTAATATGTAGAAAGATACATAAACCGCAACAGATAGTTTGAAAACATCTATAGACTATCATGAATCAATCCAGCATACCAAAACTTGACCTGCTTGAATTTTTGGTTGGAAATATTTTTTCTTGCTTATATTCTAAATAATACTGATGTATTCCAACATCATCTTAATCGTACAACTATTTTTTAATTTATCGAGAACGGATACAAATAAGTGATCGACTTTATCAGATAGATTAATTATCTTGATTTTCAAAATCAATCAATACAAGCTTGCTTTGAAATATATATTATATAGGGATCCTTCCTTAATTTTCACCTAAATACAAATTGTATGTTTATGATTTATAAAACAACAACGATGATTGATATCAAAGTCTAGATGAGTATATTAAATCTTTTTTTTTTAACTTATTGTCTTCATGAGGCCGAGTGACGAACGAAAAATCCTCTCCATTTCGGTCTCTGTTCTGATTCTTAAATCTAGCTTTGACGTTAATATCATTAGTAGTGATTTTATTGGTTTTTGTTTCATATATATACACATATCATTTCTCATCGTAATTATTTAACATACAAGAATTTACATGAATACTTCAACTGAATAAGATCAAATTCTTTTGACACTGAAAAGTATACTGTTAAATTTTTAATCGTATTAATTGGTCGTGTCAGCAAAATAGGCTCTATACTTTCCTGTAACACAATAAATATACTAGATGCTGTTATCCAATTTAGTATGTTATGTAGCACACACTAATGTTTTTGATGTTTTATTTTAACTCTCCATGATATCTCGAGTATATAATGTAATTTCCCAAACAAAATTTACTGGTTTTAATGTATTCTCAATGTTATTATTGTTTAAAAGCAACTAAAACTATAGTGGTTATAAAAATTTCATTATCAGCTGAAAAAAAGAAGAATACTAATCTAACAACATCTAGTTTATTTTCACAGCGATCCTCTATTCTAGTGAAGAGGTTTATTGGTTAGAGTTACTCTTGGTTAATGCTAAAAAATATATATAGACTACAAATTCGGGAATCTTTTTATTTTCATCAATACTAAAATATGTTTATTCTCTTAGAACAAATTTACAATACTATGATATTTTTCGAAAGTTTTTATTTGTATTAAGTCTATTTATATTTTATTGATTCAAATCAAAGTATACTTTACATCTGATTAATAATGAACCATTAGCAAATGGCCAGATCAGCAATAATTCTATTAGTTCTCAAAATAGTACAAAGAATTGATTAAGAACTAATTGAAAAGTGTCTATTTATACATGTTTCAATAGATGAGAATAGTTTTCTTGTATTAGTTAATCATGAAACTCATATCAATGACATATGTTACTGTTGTGATAGATTTAATTAATCAATAATTATGAAGAAGTTTTTATGACTTTCATGAACTTTGCACTATGTGTTTCGAAAAAAATATAGAGCATGGCAATCTTGAGTCAAGGAGTTGTGGCTCCCCATTCATACCAAAGAAGAGAGAGAGGTCGACGGTAATTGGTTACATTTCTACAGCAACTGAGAATAGCAGAAGTCAGATTCTCCACACAGCGATCTTTAGCAACGATAAAAGGCACTAAACAACGTTTAAAAAAGACTTAGACTCTTCTAGGACATTCCAAAGCCTTCCTCAAAATTGGAATAACTAGAATACATTTATGTTGAGTATTTTATTCTTACTGAGATAATAATTTAGATTCAAAATATCAAAGATGATAGATAGTCATGCATTTAGTGTGTTTCTGAGCTAATCGATATATATAATAGTGCGTTGAGACCTGTTTGTAGATATAATAAATATGTACAACAAGCTCATTTGTCGGTTAAATTAAGAAAAACAGAATACAAAAATAAAAACCAGGAAATAAATAGGAATAAGCCAAACGAAAAAAAAATATCTGTTTGAATTACAGAAATAATTAAAACCGATGATTTTTACTGGCGATTGACTATCCTTGGGAAATAACTAAAGTCTGTCAGAGATTTTTCACTTGACGTATTTTGTATCAATATAATGAGACTAAACAAATATGTGAGTTTCATATTTTAACTGCCACATTGTTGTGCTGACAAGATTTTATATCTTATTTTACAACATATGTTAGAATATAGCTCTTATGACCTTAATTTACTTTTTTAATATTCGATACAGATTGATAGCATATATAGAGTCAAATCGAAAATGAAATGATCATATTACTACATACGATAAGAACATTTTTCTTATATATGTATATATCTAAAGAATTTCAATCATTTAAAAATCATTTTTTTTACATTATGAAGCATGATCTAGTATTTTTATGTATTTTCGTTGGTTTCTTTTTGTTCAATTTAACTGCTTCAAGACAACAAGAAAATTTATTCAATCAATCAAAACGATTAACTCATGCTATTATACATGGTGAAGTACGTGGTAATGGTAGTCTACCAATAGAAGATAAAAATGCTCATTTACTTGTTGAGCTTCGTCTTTCACGCGATGATCGACCTCGATCAATAGCTAGAACTAAAATAAAGCTGGCTGATAATAATAATAATAATAATATTACAACACAGGCATTTACTTTACAATTTAAACTTAAATATCCATTATCAAAAATTAATCCACATAACTCTTATATACTTTCAGCTAAAATTCGAAATGGTCAAAATAAATTAATCTATATTGGTGATCTTCATGTACCAATTACTGAACGAAAAAATGAGCAAGCAAAATATTTAATTATTAATGTTATTGAAACTCGTAAGTTAAAAATTTATATTGAAAATTATTTTTAATTATTAAATATAGCTTCATGGTATAGTAATATTGATAAACTAAGTTTATTAGCTTATAGAGTTACACAATTGGGTGGTACTGAAGAGGTAAGTTTTAATATTTTGAACTGAATATGTTTTGACATTATTCAAGGCATTCACAAGTGAATTATATACGAATAAGAAATCAGGTATTTATACATGTGTCGTCTGCAATTCGACTTTATTCAGGTAATATGTTGTTTTTTGTTTGAATTTTCGTATGTAAAACTGTTCATATAATATGTATAGTTCAAAACATAAATACAATAGTGGTACAGGTTGGCCGTCATTTTATCAAATAGCTATTGAAGGAAATGTTGCAACAAATATTGATCGAAAATATGGAATGACTCGAACAGAAGTTCATTGTTCCAAGGTTTGTATTTTTTTTTAAATATTAATATTAAACTTTATTAATTATATTTTAGTGTAAAGCTCATTTGGGTCATGTATTTGATGATGGTCCTCAACCAACTTATATGCGTTATTGTATCAATGGTGTGGCTTTACAATTTTATTCCGATGATAAGGAACTGAAATAATCGTATTTTTCTTTAATTGAATTTATTTCGATTGTAGTTAATGTTTAAAAAAAAATAAACTTTAATATTCATCTCTTCATAACTAACATTCCCTTTCGCACTATTCGTATTCAATTTTCTCTTCGATAATTCACTGATTGGTTTCGATTAATTTTTGAATATCATTTTAGTCTTACATACACTAAGAAATAGATCTTGTTTCTTTTGAGTATTTATTTAACCTTTGATCTCCTTGAAAAACAGTGTTTTTTCTAGAATTATTTTATTTTCAGCTACCTATTAACCGAAAGTATAATATCAATTTTAATAGTTGCCTATAATTTGACAATATCAATGATTCCCATCGATCATATCGTAGACACAATGAATCTATCGATGAGTACTTATCTTTCTCACCATAGTAACCTTCTTTTCTAGGTATAAGTATCAATTATTGGAAATCAATGCGATCGCTTCTTGATTTATTTCAATATATATATATATGTATATTTTCTTCCCTTTCACTATTTTGACATGAAAAAAAAATCAAGAAACACAGTAAGAAAAAGAAAATGTAGTAAACAAATACGCACAAGAGAAAGAAAATGCAATGATGATTGATTATTTGATTATTGTTTGAGAGATTTAATCATCATCATCAAAACAAAAATTCGTAAAAAAGAAAAAGAAACAAAAAGAAAATATCTGACTTTTTTTTCTGTGTATAATATTCTAATTAATATTAAACAGATGTTTCTGAATTTAATTTCAAAACAAATTTATTTTGTTTTGAATCAAAAAATTTTTCAATTAAATTAACTCTTGGCATTGGATGAAATGTACATATTAAAGCAATATGTTCAGCATGTTGTTGTTTAAGTACAAATATTAAATTTGAATAAATTGGTTGATTTATAGATATTCTTCGACATTTTTCTTCATCATTTGTTAATCTTTGAGTATCACATACAAGTGTCCATGATTGTTCTTGATTATTTGTTATTGATGCTAAGATAGGAAATAATAATGTAGCTAATGGTTGAGCTTCTGTTTGAATATAACGTTCAAGAAATGTTCGTGGAGAAAGATCATGTGATAAACATGTTGCTAAATGAGTTATAATTGATTCTCGTGTAAAATAAGGTTGTTGTCGTGTTAATCGAAGATATTTTTGAAGAGAACGTGACATTGAAGAAAAAACAGCCTAGAAAAATTTTATAGATGAATTTTTTTATAGATCAATATTTACTTGTGCAGCTTCTCGAGCATCCATTGGTATATGTGAACCATATTTTTCATCGAGACATTTTCGAACATGTGTAAATGCATCTTCACATGAAATTATTAATTTTGTACGTCGTTTTCGTACACGACGTTCATAATCGAGTTCATCATAGAATCTATAATAGATTTGAATAATAATCAATAGAATTTTTTTGGGGAAGTCTTGACTGAATTTATCATAAATGCCAAAGAATGACTTCATCCTCTTACGAAGCAACGCTCCCAAGTGTGATTCGTTAATCGAACTGCTATTTTGTCAATACATTGGCTCCAACATGACTAGCAGAAGTCTATAAGAGTTCTTCTTCCTGCACTGTCCTCCATGAGTCATTTTTGATAATATCGAATCAAAAAATGTCAAGCTGAAGTTTTTCCCATAAGTACGAGTCGTCAGCGTTAGAGAATGCCTTGAAAGCTTCAGCCTAAACAGATGTTCTTCTTAAGATATTAAATATTCAAAAACAATCATATGTCGCAAGGAAAGATAAGAAACTCCAGTATTTTTAGGCCATTCGGAAGTCTAGGAGACTCACGTATGAGAAAATTTTCAGTAAAACTGTAATAGCTTGTGGATGGATGGCGCAAAGAGATACATCCTTATAGACTTCTGATAGTCTCATCGAAGACTTTTGCTTATTAGACTTAACGTTTTCAAACAAACTATCGTATCAAATCGAAGGTAACCAAGATCAAGTTTATTGATAAATTGGCACATCACAAACAAACATTTAAAGTTACAATATATCAGAGTAGGTATTAAAAAAATGCATTCTTTAGTCGTTTTTTTTCCTCTTCTAAGCTTTGATAAGATATAATTAATGAATGAAAAATCTTCTCTAAAAAAGAAATATATCATGTCAAACCGCTCCCTTGAATTATCTCATTGATATTCATTAAAACTAGCTCTGAAAGTTTCATCCATATATTTTACAATTAACTCAAATTTTTCGTTCGTTTCTCGCTCATTAACCTATATTCTAATGATCTTCTTCTTCTTCTTTTTCATATCCTTGAAAGTAAATGACAAGAAATAATGTTCATTTATTATTCTCAAGTTCGTTATAGTTATCTAAAATATTTGATTGATTTTGTACTATGAAAAATCTATTCGAGGTCATTTGAAACTAGCTTTTTTTTTGCACAAATATTTCGAACTTAATTAAAGCAACAAACCATATGTATATAATTAACTTACCTATCATTAAAACCACGCATTGATCGTGTAGTATTTCCATTTGTACCAACAGCTATAGTTGATGAATTTGATTGTGATCCAATAGATTTTGTTGAAAATGTTCGATGACGTTTAGCTTGTGTTTGATGAGCATTTTCTAACCATGGATTAAATACAGGAAAATCTTTATAATATTGTTCTAATAAATAAACACTCGCTTCTTGTATTGACATTGATCCTAAAAAAAGAATCAAAATTCAATCAATACATCATTTATAAATAAAAACTAATTCATCATACCAATTGCATATTGTCGTATTTGTCCATCAGGTGATCGTACAACTTTAACAATCCATTTAGGATATAACCATTTAACTTCTAAGATAAGTACAGATAATATTAATATGAATAAAAGTAAATCTTCATATGTTGATGTCATCGATAAAATTTCTTCATATTTATCTATTTTTGATTTTAATATTTTATATATATAATAACACCAATAGACAACAAGAAGAATTGATAGAATAAGAATTAAACATGTTTTATGTATATGAATACATGGTAAATATGTTCGATTACGACGTCGATAAAGTAATAGAAATGTACCAAAAAATAAAAAAATAAGTTTAAAAATAATTGTTAATATTGGTGAATAATCATCAATAGATAATAAGAAATCCGATGTTAATAATATGTATGGTAATATAAGAAAGAATATAGGTGAAATGAAAGCAATTAAACAAATTAAATAAATAATAAATTGTGATATTGTTATAGATAATTTTCGTTGATGAACATTATTTGATAAATATTGTAAATGTTCATTATGATGATTATCATTTAGTTGTAAAGTAGTATCATTGTTATTTGTTAATGTATCTTCATTAACTCCATTACATGTTATTGTTGTTGTTTCACCCCAATTATCATCTTGTGGAAGAATCTTTACTTCAATACGTTCATCTTGACTATCAGTTGAAACAACAGGTACTGATAACGATGATGGTACATCATCATTATGACGTTTCTTATGATGATAACGACGATTTGATGAACGTGTTTCATTATTAACTGTATGTAATGATGATGGAAGTACAGAATTAACTGAACCACTATATGCATCTGGATCCATAATCTATAAAAATAATTAATATAATTATGTGATATTAAATTAAGAAAAAAAAACACAGCAAACTTGATATAAGATATTATTATTAACTAGAAATCATATGAAATGAAGAGATTAAATAACAATAGATAAGTAAATACTAATCACCGTCTGTCTAATAGAAAAATGTCAAATACAAAACGCAATATTGCATGATCAATTTACATCATGCACAAGAATATATATTGAAAGAACAATAGTGGTCAGCCAAAAAAAAATCAGTTAGTACATATGATTAAAAGAGTATGTCTTTTTTCCCTCAAAGCTACCAAGCAATAATTAGTTATATTAGTAAATCGATTCAATTAAAAGAATATATAAAACAAAATAGGTTTGTGACATCAAATACGATTTCAAGTGTACTCAGTTCTATTATAATTGATAGATGTCAAGTAACTTGCTTTTTGAAAAACAATAAAAGATTCTAAAGAAGATCACTCACTTCAACTTCTGATGCACTATAATGTTTCTCTACGGCGTTACCACTTTTGTTTAAGAGTAGTTCATATGTCTTTGCTTTTGCTGTTTTTGTTGTCGTCATAGTTGTCCGATGTCGGTTCATTATTGTCGACAAATACCTAACAACTGTTTGACTACTTCTTTTTTTTTCTACACCGCCTATATCAACCCATGAAATTAACCATCACATCTTTCTTTTCTTTTTTCTTTTTTTTTCTTCTTCTGTTCATTGTCTCGTAGCGTCGTTATTTTTCACGCTGTCTCGCTATCTCTACCGCGAGTCGTTGCTTCAAGCAATTAAGAATATGTAGTGTTCTAGTCAATATAGAAGAAACTACTAGATCAAAGTTCAACTAAATATCATGTATGTCTAGATCTCTAAACAATAATCCATGATGATCATTCAAAATAAAATATATATATTCAAGAATATAATGAAAGAAAGCAAAAACAAAAAGAACACATAAATTCAAGGCTTTCTTCTCCATTAAACAAATACGAAGAAAAATGATTGATGAACTAAACATTAAAAAAAGCGACATATACATATATATATAAACGAATTGAACCGATCTGTCGTGTATCGTTGAATGAGATTGTCACCAAAATAAAAGTGAATATGTTATCTTATTATAACTATCGTCTATGAACATCTATAATATTTTAACACGAATTTCTCTGTTATTTGTTGATCAAAATTTTCTATAATGAGGATTCAATTTGTTGAAATCACTGAGCATATACTCCTAATTATGCTTGTCTACTTTTCTTGTCACGCATACCATTGTTGACTAATGAAAATTTTACATTTTCTTACGTACAGTAAAAAGATGTTTGCTGTTGTCGATAGGGTTATCACAATGTTCTTCCATATGAAATAGTTTGAACAGTATATGTATATATATAGTTAAATACAATGATACTATGTTATTTGATCAAAGATTTGGTGGATGGTTGTTCATAGAAGCAATGAAACATGAGAAGAAAAAAAGAAGAATAAATGTAATAAAGTTGAACAGACGACGAAGAAATGGATCATATAAACACTTAAAAGATTTCATGATTGACCAACTGACCCCGAAAGAAATTGACAAGAACACAAAAAAAATAAAATAAATATTTTGTTCATAAACATGCATAGACGAAACTTCCACAAGAAAACATTCTTATAATATATATTAACATGAAATCTCTACTCTCGAAGCCAATTAATGCATCTATTTGTATGAATAGAAAATAAAAAAAAAAAGAAAGAGCTTTGTACACAAATAGAAACGGATACTCTCGACAAGTGAATTGTCAGACATTGAGAATAAATGAAGGACAAATAGAACATAAAAGAAAAATAAACACGACTAAATGAACTTTTACTTACATGTTGGAAATGAATTATTTGCCAGGTGAAATCGATTGATCACCGTTATACAAAATAACAAAGAATCAATTTCTATTGGCTATTACTAACATAGAGACATAACTAACTGTATTTATATGTATGTAGTTTCAGATAGCTATACTCATGCGACACATACTAGTGTGTATAGCTTATTCTTGCTTGTTTCATCCAATAGAAATATTTTCCATATTTTATTATTGTCTATCCAGAAATTGTTTGACATATGTTGAAAAAATGTAGATTACTAGAATTATTTGTTGAATGACAAGATTTCTTTTAAAATAAGATGATTATAAAAATGATACAAATATTCGAGTCAAAGTACAGATTATGTTTATTTCGATTGATGATTGATGATGATCTTGGGAGAATGAAAAGCTCCAAGAAGAATCAAATCAAAATTGATTGTGAACAGAAAATAATATAAAGTATTAACACAAGTTTTAATTTGTCTATCATTTTGGAAAAACATTGTTCAATTTGCATTCAATATAAAATAATACGTTTCAAAGAAGAAATGAAAAGTAATCTTTCGATTCTTTATCGAGGTTTGACTGCACTTTTCTGACTTACCTATTTCCTGTTTTAAATCAGACTTCGTTCCACTGGCGCAATCAGGATTTTTAGACTAATAGGCAAACTTATCTTGTGCTAGAAAAAAATGATGGGCAAGGTTTTCATAGATGGGCAAAAACTTTTTTGATCCAACCAAGTATTGATAACATAAAAAAAACAGAAAAAAATGAAATGATGTTCTTTTAATCATATATACATAAAACTCAGAGCTTAAGTTCCCCTCCCCCGTCCTCAAAAAGTCAATTTTCGTTAAAAATCCGAAAACTGAGATAAGTGTGCGAGAACATAATCCGAAGTCTGCCATTTCAACAGAGACATAGCTTTTTATTTGATATATCGTTTTTAGAAAAAATTTTGATGTTTTCCATCACCGCCTGCTTGAAAAATAAGCTGGTTTTTGGTAAAATTGAAAAATCTTTTTAGTTTTTTCTTAGTTCATGATTTGCCGAACGCTCAACTCACATCTCTCCGCCCAAGCTGATTATACGAGATAGTCCAAAAGTAACCGAACAGTCTTTGATTGCGAATAACTTTTGATCGGAACAAGATAGAGAGCTGCGGTTTTCATCGTTTAAATAGGGATAAAAACCTGCATCGAATCTTGAATATCAGATTTTTATGACAATATTCACTCGGAGTCTCCAGACAATTTTTATTATGTAAATTTTTGTGTAATGTAAAAGTTTTAGAATTTTAATTTTCAGTAGTGCATCAGAATCGTTAATTAAAGTTCAATAGTCTGTGTAGGTGTGGGTATGGAATGTTGGTATCAGTGTGGATGTGGGTGTTGGTTTCCTCCTTATGGGTATCCACACCCATACTCCGCACCCTTCTTAATATATCACGCAGTACAGCAACAATATGATCAGCTGTTTCACGAGGTTGTTCAACAATCTCTAATACAGATCTTACTAAACCTGATTGAAGAGTAAAATGATTTATGATCAACGGAAACATCTTGATGTTTCCTTTACTAGGTTCATCCAAAGACGCAGAATAAAAACAATGTTTCTTGATTTGTCCAGTGATTTTGGATGTAAAAAAGGAGCTAAAATTAAAAGTACCTTGCTAAAGAAAGAAAATAAATTTAGAACATAATTATTCTTTCAATATATATATGTTGAATATTTTCTTATTTTTCTCGTTATAGAAGTTTTGTAGCAGCATATGTTATCGTACCTAGATCATTAACAGATAAATTACGTGCTTTTGTTTTACCATAACTAATTTGTTGTCCAATATTTGATTCATCAAAAACTTTTTTCACCAGATCACCTGTGCATGATTGGCTAACAAAACTATACCCATGATGTACACTGTGATACACAAAACTAAGTTCAGCTGCAGCAAATTTCGCTAATAAACTTGATGGAGTTGTAAAATCATGTATTAAACGTGCTTAACAAGAAAAATAAATAAATTAATGTTATGTTTTTGTGTATTGATCATATGCTTTACATTGTTCTTCAGTTTGAATTTCAACTCAACGCTTATGACCCGTTTGTTGGAGATGTCGATTGATTAAATATGTTTAATCATTAGCAATTGAAAAATCTGATTTACAAATTGAACAATGTGCACGATAAGGACCTACTTTACATTCTTGAAGAAAACACGCATATTTAGGATCTTTTATCCATTGCTTCATGAAAATAGAAAGTCGTTTGGATTTTGATGGTGAATTTGATTTTTGACATTTGTGGTTGATTTTAAAATTGAACCAAAGGATTCTTCATTTATTGTTGTTGTTATTGCTCCTGATTCAGACTCATCACATGCTAATATTTCATTCTCATTGTTGAATTCTGAACAAATATTAGTATCATCATAGTAAATGAAAAGAAAAACAAACGACTAACTGAACCTCATTTTCATCGCAATATGAAGAACCTTCGTAAAAAACGAAACAATTAAAATAAGAAAAAGGTACTAATAATCATTGGTCAAGTTTTCACCAATGCTGTTTAGTATAAATGTCTCTATCACTACAGTAATGTTATAGGATTCATCGCAAAAATGCTATTCATTTCATCAAGACCAATTTATGGAAAGAAAATATCAAAACTTCAAACTGGGATACAAAAAGGGTACCTCAGGGGTACAGTTTTTTTCGGGGTGCGAAATAGCAAAATGGGGTACAGCTAGCAGCCCTGAGCCAAAATACTTACTTTCAATGTTGAGGACAAGGCAAGTGAGCTGAGGCAATCTAAAGAATGGGATAGTGTTCGAATATCTGCGAGTCTAACGTACATGGAGCGACTGCAGCTGTGATGCATTTCCACAGATATGCTTACAAGCATCGAGTGAATATTGTGTCGTGTGAAAATTGAAAAAAGGGATAGAATTTACCATTTGCAATGGAATACTTTGATCAATTTTCAACCGTATTAATTGAAACAGTATTCGAAAAGATAGTAGTGATCTGAAATCACAATTGAACAATGAGAGTTGAAAACATCAATTGAGTCTATTCACATTCTTTAGGATGGTGATCAATGATTTGCCTTCTACCTTGTTCAATGTAAGTGATCAAAGTCGAGTAAATGGTTCAATTTAGAAATGAGAAAAGAAAATTTCAGATTGGCGTGGTGTATCATCACAATCCGAGAGTATTAATGAAATAATTTAGTTCGGTCGAAGACGATGACAGACAAGATCGAAATCAGGGGCGGCGGAACGTTTCCAAATCAGGTGAGGCTCAGTAAAAACCTTTTTTTTATTATCCTAAGTAACTTTTTTCTTCTATCAATGTCTTTATTGACGAAAGGGTGTGGATGTGGGTGGGTGTGGGCTTTGGTTTATTTTCTTTTCTTCGACATCCACACCAACACCCCAAAAGGGAAAACGGCAGATTTCAACTCTTTGGAGTCCCTTGTAACCTCATGGAACCCTTTAAGTCCCATGGAATGCCAAAATATTTTCAATTTCCCTGCAAAAGCCCTTTATAAAAATTAGAAACAGTTATTTCTTAATTTTTTTTTGTCGATCATTATATCAGATAGGATAGAAATAATTGAGGAGATGGGTCGCATAGCTATCTGGAGGGTGTGGGTCACGTTGGACAGAAAAAAGGGATCGAAAGCAATTGCCAGGTGCCAAATCGCTATTGGGTCGAGACTATGTGCATTATGTAGGCTCTAATGAGCTATGAATACTCTAAAAAAGACAAGTGTTTCTTGCTTATTTCTATCAAGATATTTGATTTTTACAGCAATTTTCAGCAGAACACCGTGGTCTTCGTCAGATTTACTTGGAAAATCAACTTTCAAATTTCGATTTGAAAGTTTGTGCAGAGAAGGGTCTCAATCAGACTAGTTTGTTCTGATGGTTTCAGATTTGTGGGTTCCTTCTCTCTTGAGACACGAGTGTAAGAAAAAGTACTTTTTTTTCATATTACTTAAAGCACAAAATGTTAAGTGTTCATATTTAAAGATAGGAGCAACCAAGAAATTTGAGAATTTCAGAATAAACTAGTCTTATTGAGACCTTTCTCTGCTCAAAGTTTCAAGTCGAAATTCGAAATTCGATTTTTCAGTGAGCTTGAGGGAGACCATGATGGTGTGCTCAAAAATGTCATAAAAATAAAAAATCTCGACAAGGGTTCAATGGCGCATCTTTGAGGATCTATTGAAGATAGATGATGATACGTTCTATCAAAAGATAGATTAAAGCTTCCATTTGAACTCCGACAAAATCCAGCAAATGAACTGCATTATGGATCAGTGACTATTTTTCACCATAATGATTCGAAGTTTTTGATCTTATTATAGTCTAAAGAGCTTCAAGAAGTCCGGACGGTCTGTAATATATAGTAAATACATAAAACTATACAAGTATTTGATGACTACAAAATATAAGTAGATCATCAATTAAAAATATAAATTTTACTTATATGGTCTAATTAATGATATTCACCTATTTGACGTACTTTGTGGTACCTGATATTTAATGCATACTCGCTATTGAGCGACATCCAAGATTCTCTTAAATCAGGACCATGGTAGCTTCAATGCTAGCTACGATATGGGTTCGAATCTCGAAAATTGATTTTGTCACCTGGCTGTCCACTGTGTGGGTGTGGGTGTGGATCGTTGATTTTGCTTTCACACCCACACACCCACACCATTACTAACTGATTTACTTATTGTTGTTTCACAGGTTTCAGCTATTGAATAATTATAGGTTTTGTTTTTATTCTTGTTTCCATTAACATTTATCTTTTTCAATTTGATTATCAACCTAAAATACAAGCTATTGACAGTAGTCTGGTAATCCTTTTTTTTAAGATTGAAATTACTAAGTACTATGCACACCGCTTGTGTGAATGCTTACATCACATTTTATAGTAGTACCGTGGTCTTTCACTGTGCATCATAGAGCATTGGACAGGAAACATTCGTACCAGAGATGTCCATCGCGGCTTTAACTCTGCCGCTGCCGCGCCGCGGCATTAGAAAAAAAAACTTACCGCGCCGCGATGATGTATAAAAAAAAGTCACCGCGCCGCTGCCGCGATGGTTTTCAAAAAAGTGTTTCGATTTTCACTGCTGCAACTGTATTGGACCAGAAATATTGGTACTAGTCCATCAGATTCATTCAGTCTCGGGTGTTTCATTTGTAAACAATGAAATTCTATTAAATTCATGCAGTTTTTCAATATCCTCGAAAAAAACTGCTGCCGCTGCCGCGATGAGTTTTTAAGAAACCTGACGCTGCCGCGCAGCCATGGACATCTCTGGTTCGTATGGTAAAAGAGACTGAAGGATTCCCAAATAATTCTACCGTTTTTTAGATCTTGAAAATATCTTGGAGTTCCTCGGAATCATATGGAACCCAGGAATCCCGAAATCTGTTATTTCCCCTGTGTCCACACCCACACTCTGTTAGGACTGTGCTTTCACTCAATATAGAGAAATGAGTGATACATCACGAAGATGAGGATAAACGCTTGAATACAAATAGTTCTGACATTGACTGCATTAATCTATAATCGTTTTGGTTTGTACAACACTCTATGTGAATAAAACAAAGATGTTGTGACGAATTATGACGGCATAGATAGTAGGCTTTATTACTAGGATCACAACATATAAATAGATATATTAGAAGTTCGGATCTTCGCACTGAAATAATATTCATTTGATAAGTCTAAACCATCGTGCAAAAAAATATCGTATTCATAATTTGGGTAAGGCTGAGCCTTCAGACACCAAATTTGGGTGAGGCTCATGCCTCACTCAGCCTCCAGCTTCCGCCGCCTATGTTTTCAGCACAGACTGTGTCTATGTAAAGTGTCAAGGAAAATTCGAACAATCAGTTTCCCTGATAGAGACCACGGCATTCATTTAAAAACTACTGTAAAAGTGCAGCATCTTGACAGTAATTAGCTAAGGTCATCAGCTCTCTTTTAGATATTCAAAAATCAATTGTGTCAACATGATACAAATTGTTCCGAGTCAAAAGTCACTAATGAACTAGGAGACTTTCCTGGTAAGATTTATGACTTAGAAAATAGTGTTTTAGGTTGATATATATATATAGTACCACGGATGTCATCTATTAGCAGACTAGTTTATAAATATTTCTTGAATAAAGATGTAAGAGCAGCATTTTACATGGCAACTTGGGTCATTTTTAATCCATTCCTAGTGATTAACATCGAAAATGTTTCTTCTATAATTATTTCTTTTTCCATATGAACTTGTACATAACACGATTTTCATGCTTAAACATTTTATTGAAACTAAAGGATGCCTGAAATAACTTATTATCAGGAGGTAACACTGTCGTTTCAAATAAAATCAGCAACAAATTTTATATTAAATTAAAGTGCATCGAAAAATAGGGCTCAACAATACTAAATAGTGAGCATTAGAGCAATTTTTCACTGTTAATTTCAGAAAATTCCTTATGTTTTACATCAAATCAACAGAAATAATTTTCTTTCTTAAGGTAGTGCGAACTAGATCTCTTTGAAAATGATGAATATAAGCAATGATCAGTATGACGATCATTAGCATTTTTACAGCAGAAAGATGAGGTTGATACGAACATGAAATATGTTTTTTAGAGTTTCTTCATCAAAACAATTGTGTTCCGTGTTTGATAGCCATTCTTTTCAGTGTCATTTTTAATCATTATTCCTTTATTTCCAGATCTGGTATTCATTATTTCTTGACATTCATTCTTTTACATGAAATTCCGTTTGAACAACCTCACAAAAGCAAAAGACTTTAACAATATGAATAAGTCATTTCGAATCGGAATCAATGAATCCATATGAAAGAAAAGAAGATGAAGACTAACGATACCGACATGATCCTAGAAATGAAAGACTTTATATCAATCCGAAAATATTTACCTTTGCAAGTATTTCATCTTTTCCAGAAACGACTCATTAAAAAAATAATTCATGATAAGTAGACATTTAACTTTAAACAGATAAAATAACTATGAAAAACAATCAAATCAACAATAAACGTAATTATGATGCCATTCAATACAAATGGATCATTTATAGGACATTCTGCATCTCCAGACTGAAAGAGCTTTTCACAAATTTAATCATACCAATGTCATAAGTAGCACCTGCATAAGCTATTCTCATGGCTGACTAAACATCAACTCTACTGGATTACTGTCAGAATATAAAGAATTAAACTATCAAGGTTTTCAAGTACATATTCATATACACATTGAATGATTTCCCGTATTAATGTTGTTTTCATTAACTAAATATTTTATAAAAAGTTTCAAATAATTCTTCCATATGTTTATGATCGATTACAAAAAGTGTAAATTGAATGGTTAAGACTGATGAAAAAAATTATGCAGTTCATTTGTAAACAAATGGTTAGAATTTATATCTGAGTTTTGTCAATGATAAATGAATTACTATATATATAGATAATTATCGAAAATAACTCGTATCTTTTTTTGCTAGTCCTTCTTTTCTATTTCGATTTTTTGTACATATCAAGCGTGACTTGCAACCTTCATTTTTTTTCTCTACTGACTGATAAATGATCCAAGCTAAATATTACGAGAAATAAGTTATTATTTTTAACCATCTGTGTACGAGACATAACAAAATAGCTACTGATAGTTTTTTTACCTGTCAATGTCTCACTTGATATCTTTTCAAGTTTGCGCATTCAAGTGTGATAGAATAAAACAAGAAAGGAAAGAAAAAAGAGAAACAAAGCAAAAATATATTTCTATTGAGTACAATGTTAGTGATCATATAGTAGGTTTTTTTTCTAATATTTTTTGTCCGTTGTTTTTCATTAAAGACAATAACAACGCTATCACGAAGGACGATCAACACACGTCATTATAGTATTCAAAATAAACCGCATAATTAATTATATTCAACATGGGCCTCGAATCGTCTAAACCGCCAAGTCCTGCTTCATATGGTATATTAAATTGCTTCTCTTTCTATGTAATCGATAAAATATATAACCTTTCTTTTTTCTTTTTTGTATTTTTTTTTCAGGACCAATATTTTCAGTTCGTGGTCGTCTGTATCGCATTTTAGATGTTCTTGGTAAAGGTGCTCAAGCCACTGTATATCGATGTGAAGATCAAAATGCTGCCCAATATGCTGTTAAAGTTTTTCATTTTTCACGTTTTCCTCGTTCTCAAAGATCTGGTCGTGCTCGAAGTTTTGTCAAAGAAGCACGGATTTTAAAACATATGAGTAAACGTTCACGTCATTTTGTTCATTTATTTGATTACGAATATAAGCGTAAAGGAAAGACAGGTTATATGATCATGGAATTAGGAAATGGTAGTTTAAGACAATACTTAGCAGGAGCACCATTAAGGGATACATTTCGAAGAATGTATTGGAAACAAATTGTTACCATCTTGAGAGATCTTAAAGATGCGAATATTGGTAATTGACTAGAGAGATATATTTTTATATTCATTTATCTTTTTCTAAAACTTTTATTTCAAAGTTCATGCTGATATCAAGCCCGAAAATTTAATTCTAGTAAATAATGTTCTTAAAGTAACCGACCTAGGTCTTGCTTTTCGGATTAATCCACCAGCACAGTCGGTTATGCGAAGAAAAGTTCTTGGTACTATTGGTATGTATTTACACTAATCATACTTTCAATATTATTGTGCACTCTATTATACTATCATATTCATTTTTAGATTATATGGCGCCTGAAGTATTTTCTCATAAAATTGGTTTCAAATCGGATGTATGGTCAGCAGGCATTATTCTGTATGAAATGACCTATGGTCGTCCTCCCTTCATGAATATTCCTGGTAAACAACAAAAAGTGGCTGTTATTGCATCAAAGACACCTATATCATTTCCTTCACATAGAAATCGTTATTTAGTCGATTGTATACAACGATGTCTGCAACATAATGACGTCTTGAGACCGAGTGCATATAAATTAGAAGTACACCCATATACAAGGATGTAATTAATGACAAGGAAGAGCAAACGAAAATTCCATACTTCAGTATACTTCAAGGATATGTCAAAACTATTTTCGTCACCTTCTGAGCTATTTCAAGTCTACTATCAATATCACTGATACTCAAATCTTCAAATACGATGAAGTATTTGAGATTCGTTCTCAGACAGACTTATATAAAATGAGCTCAAACTAACATGTCGGTGATAGATGTTGATGACACACTTGAACTAGCTACGAAATTCTAGAGAATAGTTTTCGCATGTCCTTGAAGTACAGAGTTTTCGCTTTGTTTTCCATTGAATCGAAAATTACATTTTTGCTGTAACTGAAATCTTGTTTTTTCTATTGATTTTAATATTCTTCTAGCGAAGAAAACAACACCAAGACTATGTAGAACTGAATTTATGTCCATTGTTGTGCTAATTCTTATGTGACAGATGTTTATTGCAGTTAATTTTTTTACAGATGTCACTAATGATCAGTGCTTCACCTATCTATTTTTTTTTGTAGCGACATATTGTTAATTTCTATTATTCTCCAGACAATAAACATTTTTTTCCACCAATATTACATGAAATTTTAAAACAATTTTAATTTGTTCTTGTCGTATTCAGATTGGTTATCTGATCTACAAATAGTTCGCTTTATTTCATTATTTATTTTTGCTTTTTGCTTTTCTCCACGTTGAAAAATGAGATTGGAAGAAAGGGTTGTCTTTTGCGTCATTCAATCAACGATCTATAATACATGATATATCAGCATATTTTTTTCACTTTTTCTTCCATTTTATTTATTTAAAGTACTGCATTTCAGTTTACTCATTTGCCACGGTGTGACAGCGGAGTGGCATAGCAAAGAATGCGCCCCCTATATTTTTATTCATTTGCCCCAACCCTGTATATTCAAAAAGTGACTGTAGAATAATTAGTTTGTCCGTATGATAAGAAGACACTGTTTTTTTTACTTTAAACACAATTATCATACTTATTGGTGTAATTCACACACCCTCGCAGCACTATGTGGAGGTGAAGTCTGTGTCTAAAGTAAAAAAAAAAAAAAGTACCAACAACACATAGAATAGGTAGAAATTTCAAGTTTACATTCAGAAAAGAAATCAAGCATGTCTAATTTCTTATCTATACTATCTAATCGGTCCAATCTGTCCATGTGATTTGAAACGAGCAAACACCGTTCAGTATGATGTACACTATTCCGATGGTAGTTGTCCCTCAATCGGTAATCTACTGTTGAAATACTAGTGATAGTGCGAACAAACATATGATACTATCACCTAATGAAACTATAGAATTGTCAGACTTTCCGTTCCATGAATGATTAAGAAATAATCTTCGGAAAAATCTTTTTTTCTAGATTTTTTAATCGATACTTCGACAAAAAAAATGTCGCAAACAAGTTCATTTCCTTTCTTCGGTAATAGTAATCAATATCGCCCTGATGGTAAACCAAATACATCAAATAAATTTAATTTGAAAGCACTTTTTGATTTTTCAACTTTGTAAGTATGAAATTTATTTTTCGTTTTGCTTTGCTAAACTAATCTTATTTTATCTTATTCAGACAACCACGGGTTCAAAATCATTTGAAAAATGTCTATACTTGTTTATTGGGTGCAACTTTATGTGCTACATTGGGTATTTATTTATCCATGACAGGTTGGCTCAATTATCCTCGTTTGGCAATGTTTGCATCAATAATAACAAGTATTTGGCTTTTTTCACTTGATTTTAATGGTCGTACACAAATGAAATGTTTTGGATTAATGTCTGCTACAGCTTTATTTACGGGTATTTATTTAAGTCCATTGATCAATTTGGCCATTCATGTCGACCCGCAAATTATCGTAACAGCATTTTTATTGACAACAATTATATTTGTTTGTTTTACACTTAGTGCTTTATTTACAAAAAGTCGAACTTATCTATATCTAGGAGGTAAGAATAATAATAATAATAATAGAATATATTCTGATATACATATATTGAAATATTCAGGTTTACTGGGTACAGGCACATCTATTATGCTTTTCCTTAGTTTGATGAATATATTTGGACGTTCGCAACTTATTTTCAATGTAAATCAGAAAAAAAAACATTTCAGTGTTATTATAACGATTGTTTTTTTTTCATCTTTTGATTTAGGTTAATTTATACCTTGGCTTAGCTCTTGCTTGTGGATATATTTTATATGATACGCAATTAATTGTTGAACGAGCTAATAATGGAGATATGAATTATGTCAAGTAAGTGCCTAGAAGTATTGAAAATGTATGAGATTGAGTGTTTTTGGTTCCGATCTTTTGAAAACTTATAAGCATTTATTTGAATCACATGTTAAAAGACTCTGCATTACTCGTTTTTATTATTGGTTTAATCAACAGCTAGCACTTTTTTCAGTCTTCTCTCTCGATTTAGTTATTATTTATAAGATGATTCGCATGAAGCATAAAATATTTGAAGTATAATGTTTAGTTTACCACGTCTCTGTTTGTGAGCTATTTGAAAACTATTTCACATTTGAGTAAATATTTGTAAATATAATAGTCTGCATTTTTTTCTCAAATTCTAAAGATGAAAAAAGAGATCGAGCGGTTTTTTGAGGATTGGTAAGCAAAAGAACGAATAAAATGCTGAAAGTCTGCGAAGAAAAACTTTCAAGATTGAAATCGAGTCATTCCTGAAAAACAGTATCGTTTATTACAAATATAATGTCAATAATCAATTTAACATTAAATTGCTATTAGTAAGAAATTAACCGGCAAGAAAAGAAAATATACAATCTTGAACTTTAATAGAACATTAATATATATATGATATATTAAAAATATTTTATTTTTAGACATGCACTTCTCTTATTTATTGATATGGTCGATTTATTCGTTCGCATTCTTATTATTTTACTTAAAAATGTATGTTTTTTAAATTTTCTTCTTCACGTCCATTTTATTAATTAATTTTATTTTTATTTTAGTCGCAAAAGAAAGATAAGAAAAGCAACAATCGTTAAACCAAAAAGTTAATCAATCCACGTAAACATATTCTCGATTTGAAATAAGAAAAAATATATTTTTTTTTTTCTGTTTTCTTTTTTTTTTTTTCGATGTTGTATTGTGCTTTTTGTCAATTAGATATGTTTTCGTTCACTTTATATTAATCATCTAGAAATATGCTTTAACATAAATTTTTGCTTGTAGTTACATGTGCTCCTATTATTCAAAGTCGAGAAATAAATCAAGAAAAATAGATACATCATCAACATTGATCGCATATTGTATCCCATAGAGATATTTAGCAATCAAAAGCTTTGTGAATACGATTGACGATCGAGATAATGTTTCCGGATAAGAAAAAAAAAATGACTGTCGTTTATGCTATTGATCGAAACTGTGATAGTGCAGAATCATGAGAAAATGTTTATTTCTTTAACAGATTTTGAATGTATGAATAAGAAAAAGAATGACAAATGCATCGTTCGATCTTTGCTGATATAACTTGTTCAGATTGAGTTGATTAAAATAAATATTATTTTATTAAAAACATTCAGAGACTCAACCTTCTGGTTGTTACTATACTTTTTTTGCTTTAGGATAGATATGCAACGATAGGACTTATTCGACGCATTGCATCGGTACCTTCAACATTGTATTAATTGTTTTTTGATATAGCTTTCAGTTCAATAGAAAAATAAAAGCACTTAATGGTTATCCTCTTTTTTCGATTCATTAAAATTCTCCGTGAAAGTATAATCTGTCGGACCTCATATTATTACCACAGTTAATTATTGAGATCAATGTTTGAGGAAGAATTTTTTTAAAGCAGACCTCCAGAGATATTTGAAGAAATTTTCAAAAATCATCGGACCTGTTTACAACTCCGGTCTTCCTTTGTTCGATGGAACTGAAATTTTTTCCGAAAGTAAGTGAAACAAAGTCTCACATGTGCCTTCACAAAAAAAAAATTCGAGTCCGATCAGACAAATTAAAATTGAGGTCGTAAAGAGGACCGATGGTTTTTGAAGAGTCCTTGAAAAAAAAACGATTGAAGATCTGCTGTAAATATTTTTTCCTCCAGCATGAGCCTTATCATTTCCAATAATCTAGTCACGGTAAAAATTTGAGCACGACAATTTGTACTCTCGCGAAGAACGACAAGTGATCCAAAAGAGGAGAACGACCATTAAGTACTCTCGTTTTTCTATTGAACAGAAATATATGTCAAAAAAGACAAATTGTACCGTTTGTTAGCTGCTGATGAGATGTATCGAATGGCCCCTATAGTTGCATTTTTATGGAAGAATGGAAAAGTACTTTGCCTATCAGAAGAAAATATTTGCATCCAACATCTGAAAGATACCGACTTTCCAAAATATGTTATCGCAGCTGTATTTTTCATTTGACTGCAAGGAATAATAAAAAAAATCTAATTTTATTATATTCGACAGATAGTCGATTGCAATATCGAGCAATATAATAAATAAGTTGTATTTTTATAAATAATCAACTGATAGGTTTTTTCGTTATAGGCGATTTTCAAAATACTTTCAACGACTTGAGATTCATTTAGTTTGTCAAGTATTCAATAATCTGTTATTAAAATAGTCATTTGTTATAACAAAAATTCTTTTCTTTTAATCGAAATATCATATTAAAAACAATAGTCTGTGTGATAATTGATGTTTGAAATTTCTAAAGAAAATCTATAAGGAACAAATCATGCAACATGATGATAATAATAATAATAATAAGTTAAAAATGTATAGTGTACTTATTCTGGTTGTTCTAGAGAAATATTGGTGTCTATCTCATTTTTTTCATTATAGATTTACTAGTAGCTATTAGTATATTTGTAACAAATCGTAAATAGATAAGGAAAAAGTCAAAGGTTTTATATTACATGCATCGATGATGTTTATAATTAGCATGCTCTATTTCATTATATGATATTTATTGGAGCAAAAAAAAAACGTTTTAAATAAAATTTCACTTGATCGAGAAGAAGAAGTAGAGTCGTCTGAAAACGAATAATTAATAATTATTTCTACATTTTTAGATAGATATTATAAAACTGAAGCTATCTTATATATACTTATTTTCATTAAATTTAGCATAATAAATTTTCTTTAAACTTCATCATGTTAGCATTCATTTTTCTATTTTTAGTTTCACATGAAAATAATTGAATAAACGATAGGTACAATTATCATAAGTGTATAAATTTGAAATGGCGCTTTTTCTTTTCCTCCTCTCTTGCTAAAAAAAAAAAAAAAAAAAAAAAAAAAAAAAAAAGAAGCACTCTCACGCTACTAGTATAAATGCAGCGTTGGATGAATAAGCTATTCCATATAGTACAACGGTTAGAAAAAAACAACGACAGTAAGGAAGCAAGAAAAATGGTAAAATCAATATACATATATGCGTTCTATAGAAATTTTATTTGGATGCACTGTGGACACTTATTAAACAATTACGATTAATTTATCCTTCTATAACATACAGTCATACCCCATGAACATATACGTAGGTTATATTGTTTCACCTGAGTAAATGCGCATGCACTCGTTGTATACTATAGTATATAAAAGTTGATTATTCATAATAATATTTTTTCCTTTTCAGAACTTTTATTTATTTCTTCGCTTGCACGCCCGGCGTGTAAGTCAAAACTATAGCTAACAAAAGCGTATTTCAACAGAAGAACGACATTATTCACAATATTGTCGATAATATGTAAGTTTATTGTGCTTATTCAAGGTCTATTTTCATTTTTGTTCCGATGAGACTCAATGTAGAAAAATGAACGTAGGAATCTAAAGATTATCTATGAATGTATCGGGAATTGAAATTGTTTTCTTCAAAAAATTGAATAGTTGTCCAAAAAAAAAATGTTCAAAAGTTAAAACAGTTATAGTTATCAACTATTTTAACTTAATTAAACTTTTAAGTAAATTAGGTAAAACTAAAATCGTAATCAGTTTTATTTGATTGATATGTTCGATAAAATTAATGAAAGATCAGATGTATTTGCAATACCCTCGCTTCAGAAAGTCACCATTTATGAATTTTTCTCGAAGCATTATTTTATATATTCATCTGTAGACAAATGTTTTCTCGTTCGTTTGTATCGAGTGCAATTGTGTATATAATATTTTTTTTTTCGCTCGATGATCAATGATAATCTTGAAAAATATGAGTAATTGTGGACAATATTTAAGTATTGAAATTATTCTGGCGGAATTATTATTCTTTTAAAAAAGTAATCAGTATCAGTCTAGGTTGAAATGAAATTTAAATAATGCTCTTAGTCAGTATGATTATATTTATTTTATTTCAAGATGAAATTACGCCACAAGATTTTTCTCTTTTCACTCTCATGCATACATGATTATTTATATTAATACTTTTATTATTCTCGCTTTTCCTGCCTAATATATTGACGAATGGAAAGGAGAAATGAAAGAAGTAAAGAAAGTAAGGCCGCAGGACCAAAAGGAAGAGCAGATTAAGAGAAGAGAAAATGCGTTCATTATCTTCTTATAAGTCAAGGACACAAAGAAACGCTTGCTACATGAGAGACAAGCATATGATAGTGCGTTGATTTGTGGTGTAAACGTATCTTATTAATGAGCGTGGATAAAACTAACAATTTTAATTGCGTAGTTTAAATCGCATGCAATGTTAAAAATTTTTATTGATTAAATTATTATAGCGAAATCTGTTCTAAATAAGGCTCACGATTTAAAACTGTGATTGAAAATAATTCATCCGTTATAAATCTATCAGTTTTAATTTCCTATAGTGATTAGACGACTCTTCATAATGGGAGACACGCATGGAAAAATGATGCATCGGATATAATAGAAGACTCTATTTAATAAAATAATTTTTCATCAACTCAGAACTTTAATTAGTAGATTTATATCAAGATGTCTCTCTTTTTCAGAATTTTTAATTGAAAATTGTAAAAGACTAGAGTGAAAGTTGTTTTTAGGTTTTTAAAACTGTAGAAAATCGCCTTCTAAATCTTCAAAACCGTGTTGTAGCAAAGAATTTTATTAGTATCTGAAGTAACACACTCAAATAATAATAATCCTAACTAGACAATATTTCAAGAAAGATTTTCAATCTATCTACTCATTATTTGAATCGTAGATCTGATTTTATTGTATCAATAAAGAATACGAATCTAATTTTAAAGTACAAATTTGTTATTGATATATTGTTATCTTAAATCTGACTGAATTTCAACAAGAGTCATATAATAATTTTTCTTAGTTAAAAATTAATGAAGATAGTTGCAGTTGATAAGAATGATTATGAAATGCACATCCACCAATTTTTGAATCATTCAATTTCCATAGATTTTCTTATCATGCCTAAATAGTATCTATCATTAATAAGTTGCATGCGTTGAAAACTCAAATATTCTAGTATGATATTCGAATAAGATAAAATATTTAAATTCCAACATGAATCATCTCATTATCAGTACGTTTCTCGTTATCTTCATATACATTGTTATGTAAAAGTTCGAAAATCTTTATATTTAAATGTATCCATTATTTTAGAAAGTTTGTTTATTATATATATATATATATATTCTGTCTACCAAAAAACTAAAAACGACCTCAAAAACCTGGCTACACAAAAATATTTTTGAGTAAACAAAAAAACAATACTGACTTTCAAGAGAAGGACTAAAATAGAATTCATTTACATTCATAGCAAAGTTTCCACTATTGATTTGACTGTTTTGTAAAGTTCACGATACATTTTTCGAATAAAATTTTGAGTGTAAGTTTAAAATAAACATTTTGGTAGTTTTCTACTGCACCTTATTTACATTGCTACAGGTTATTAAGTATATTTTCATAGTAGCCAAGGACAACCAATAGAAAAATTGTTTTCTATCTATACCTGGGCAAAAGACAAAAGCATTAAGCGACATCAACAATAAGGTTTATACAGTTTTAGAATATTTCAAAGTCTCACTCTAAATAGCTAGAATATA